ATGGCTTTGCAGATTTAAAAACTTGCAAATACATTATCTGCAGCATGAAAGTTTGCTTTTGGGCTAGGGATATAGCTCAGCAGCACAGTGCCTGCCTGGCAAGCACAAGGTCCTGAGTTTGATTCCAGGTACCAAAAAAAAGTTTCGCTTTCCTTCCCTTCAGTGGCAGACAGTGCAGGTGCTAAGGGAGCAGGACTGGGGCAGTCAGACTCTCATGCCAGCAACGGCGTCTTGGCGTTTGAACTTCTCCTAAATGATAATTTTCCCCCTAGAAATTTTGGATGGTGTGGAACTTGGGGAACCAGCTCATAAGAAAACGGGGACCACGGTGCCAGAATCTATTCACTCGTTCAGTAAGTTCACCCTCAGGGGAACTGCAAGGGACCTGCTCGCTAAGAAGACAGCAGTGGTGTGGCCCCATGAGAGGGTGACAAGCTGAGGCCACAGGACCACCTTTGATTTTATTTTTTTGTCTTTTGAGGCAGGGTTTCACTATGCCATTCAGGCTGGCCTTGAATTCACTTTGTAGCATAAGCTGGCCTTGAACTTACAGCAATCCTCCTGCCTCAGCCTCCCAAGTGCTGGGATTACAGGTGTGAGCCACCACACCCAGCCCAGAACCACCTTTCAGAGGGGAGGTCTCTGAATCCCTGGTTATACTCCGAGGACACAGATGACCACCAGGGAAGAGCTGCTCAGCGTGGACAGTAGTGGCACTGAGCCCACCGTGGTGATCCAGTTCTTACCATGACTTTTGCTCCTGTGCGTGTTACAGTTGGAGACGGCTTGGTGAAACCAGAAGCCCTAAATAAGAAGGCTATTCAGATCATCAACAGGGTTCGAGACAAGCTCACCGGTGAGTGTGCTGTGTGTGGGAAGGGACCCAGAGCTTAGAGCAGTCCTGTCCACGGCAGGCTCAGTCCTGAGCCGCGCCCTGCGGCTGCCGAGCCCCCTGGAGCCAGCACCGGGGCACCTCCGCCTCCTCTTGCTGAAGGCACTGGCACCACCCAGAGTTAACTGAATCCTTCTGCACTCGTGGGTGAGCTGATGGGTTCCAGTGCCAGCCAAGTCCATCTGCCTTCTGTCCTCTTGGCACAATGGCAGAGCACGTCTGACCGGACACTGTCGCTTGTCTTCAGATGCCACAGGGCGGAGAGAGGGAAAAAGGTGCAAGAAGGAGCACCCCACCCTGACTGCCTTCGTCAGGAGGGAGGACGGGGTTGGGCAGGGAAGCCAGAGCCCCCCTCAGCTCCGAGCCGTGGCCGTGGCCGTGTGCCGGCTCAGCTGACAGTCCGTGTTCCTGTTCTCCCCCCAGGCCGGGACTTCTCACATGACGATACCTTGGACGTCCCAACACAAGTGGAGCTGCTCATCAAACAAGCCACATCCCATGAGAACCTCTGCCAGTGTTACATCGGCTGGTGAGTGGGCATCACAAAGAAACGGTTAGAACCGCAGTGAGCGCTGGGAGCCACCTGCAACCCCAGCAGCTCTGAGGCTGAGGCAGGAGACTGACAGTTCAAGGCCAGTATGGGCAACTGAGGCTCTGTCGCAAAATAAATTAAAAGGGCCGGGGACTTAGCTCAGTGGCACAGACCTGCCTGGCAAGCGCAAGGGTCCTGAGTTTGATTCCTGGTACCAAAAATAAAATAATAAAAGTAAATTAAAAGGGTTAGAATGTGGCTCAGTGGTAAAGCACCCCTACATGTAATCCCACCGCAAAATAAATCATTGAGCACCCCACCCAAGGCTCTAAACACAAGAGAACACGAGAAAAATTGAAACAAGTAGCCATAACGGGCAGTTCAGGGTTCGCAGGTTCAAACCTCTTGAGAAGTTTATATTCACTGCACATTCTCTTGGGGTTTCTGTTTGGAGGTAAGTTCAGATTCCGTTTAGAGCAGTGTTTAGAAGAGTCCAGGCTATTTGCTCATGAAGGGTTCTGCTGGTGCTTTGGTTTTCTGGGGTTTTTTGTTTTGTTTCTGTTTGTTTTGTTTGAGACAGAGCCTCACTATATAATTCAGGCCGGCCTTGAATTCACAATGTAACCAAGGCTGGCCTTAAACTCACAGCGATCCTCCTGCCTCGGCCTCAGAGTGCAGGATTACAGGTGTGCGCCACCACCCCTGATTTCTGCTGGATTTTTGCCGTCACTGCAGAGATACAGGAAGGGCAGGGAGAAAGAAGCCAGGGCAGTGACAGAGAAGATGAAAGCCTTAGATGCGTGATCTGGGAGTGAGTGCAGAAGTAGCCGAGATAGATTGTCCGATGCATGCGTAGAGGCACCAGCCTGAGCAATGGTGCAGGGACGCATCCCTGGGGACAGGGTGGCATCACCCCAGACGGGAGCTCTTGTGTGTTCCACAAGATTAGGCATTTGTTGGAGAAGAGCTCGGGAAGTGCCCAGGGAGGTCAGACCTTGGTCTCCGTTCTCACAAGAGTCTCAGACGACTAAGTGTTTCTTTGCTGTCCGCCTTCCTAGGTGTCCCTTCTGGTAACAGCAGCCCCGGCGTGCTGAGGGGTCTCTCCACGGCCTTTCTATTTTGGTCTATGCTTCCACTGAAATGAAACCATGGACAGAGAGTTCAACTTTGTCACATATCTTGAGATGTAAAGGAAAAGAACTACTGTATTTGACAGTTGACTTGAACCAACCTTCTAGCTGCTGTTGAAGAAGATTTTGTCAGAAACACAGGCTTGATTTGATCCCCAGAGAAACACAGTCGTCCCACAGATCAAGCCGCTGACTTTGGGAACAGGAGAGCCACAACCACACATACGGGTTTTGACTTTGCTCACAGACCTCGAGGTGAGCGTCTGCTGGTGGAAAAATGACCAGGTCGCCCCTCTCAGTGTCAGTGTGGCAGCAGCAGACGGCATGTCAGGTAGGCTGGAAGGGGATGTGTCCCTCAGGATCCTGGCCGGAAAGAGGCTGAAGGAGCTGATGTCACCACCCGTCCACGCTGTTACCTCACTGGTCTCCACTGCGGCAGTGGCAGCATTCGCAGGGTGGACCAAGACAGTGGCCACGCTCTGTCATTACCTGACCCAGTGATGCCGTGGCTCACACTTCAGCCCGAGCCCTGAACTGCCCTGGCCAACACAGGAACTAAGGGGACATGGCAGTGTCCCGGTGAGGGCTGAGCATGTGTGCCGAGAGCAGGGGCTCCACACACAGCCGCCCTCCCGGAGGTGCTGAACACAGAGCGACAGGTTAGGCACGTTGGGTATCGAGCAAAGAGTATCTGGCTAAATGCACAAAGTATACCGTGTAGCCACACGTAGACAACACGTTGTACCTGAACAATTTTTGTGCCAATAAATGACATCAGAATTTTAAAAACTTATATGAGTGCCTTTTTATTAATAATTATTAGTTCTGGCCGGGCCTGGTGGCTCACGCCTGTAATCCCAGCACTCAGGAGGCTGAGGTGGGAGGATCATTGCGAGTTCGAGACCAGCCTGGGCTGCAAAGTGAGCTCAAGGCCAGCCTGAACTGCATAGTGAGACCCCCTCTCAAAAAAGACAAAATAATAATAATAATTATTATTAGCTCAAAAAGGAACTCCTGGGCCAGGGGTGCAGCTCAGCAAGACTTGGCTTGAATGCACAGGGCCATGGACTTGATTCTCAGCAGTGTAAAAAATAGTAACGGGAGCATTTATTCCTTTAAGATTATTAAGTACTTGGTACTAGGGACTGAAGGGCATAAAGATGCTCAGTGTGGGTCACAGTCCTTTTTGGGGGTCCTGAGCCAGGCAGAGCGGAGCCTGCCCAGCAGGAGAGTGAGCTGAGCCCCGCCCTGTGGAGTGAGGAGAAGAGCTGCCCTGGTGGGCACCCACCAATGGGCTGGACTTAGGGTCCCAGGGTGGGAGGGTGGGGTGTCAGCTGCAGCTGGTAGGGACATTCTCTGCAGCAAAGAAAGCCCCAGCACTGAGGTTAGCATCGTGGTGTCTATGGCAGCGGTGTCCCCACCTACCCAGACTCACAGGCAGTGTCCTGTGGCCACACTTTGCAATTCAGCATGTCTGTTTCAGTGGCCAGTGGGGAGTAAAAGAAATAGTGGGAACAGAACAGGAACAGAAGGCTCAAAAGTCCAGCAGGGCCTGCACAGTTCCATGACCACAAAGCTCTGACACAGTCATGTGTTTGGAAACAACTGGTGTACAGCTCAGGGACACAGCACCTCCCTGGCAGGCAGGAGTTCGATCCCTGGTACCAAAAAAAAAAAAAAAAAAAAAGGAAAGAAAGAAAAACAACTGGTGTCAAGTGAAAAAAAACTTAGGCAGAAGAAACAGAGGAGCTGGGAGTAAGCACCCCGTAGGGTCAACCCCAAGGGGTAGGTAGAGAATAGCTGATTGGTTAAACATGAAGTTTGTGTTTCACAATGCAGAGGATGGAACCCAGGGCTTCACACACGTTGGGCTCTACCACCCGCGGGTTCCTTCAAAAGAGAAGGCGTGCCTAACATATCCTTCCAAAGGAAATGCCTCTCAGTTATTTAAGTAATTTTTCAATATTCTTGTGGGCCACGCCTACTTGCTAACAAATATTTCCGTTTGTTTTGACTTTTTGGAAACAGGAGCCCTCCCATCCCTGCCCACGGGATTGGAGGATGACGCACAAGATTGCTGCAGATTTTTTTTTAAAGGTTTTCTTGAGACGGTCTTGCTATGTAGTTCAGGCTTGTCTTTTTTTTTTTTTTTTTGTCTTTTTTTTTTTTTTTTTTTTTTGTCTTTTTCGTTTTTATCGGTACCGGGGATCGAACTCACGACCGCCTGCTTGCAAGGCAGGTGCTTATGCCGCTGAGCTAAATCCCCAGCCCCTGTTCAGGCTTGTCTTGAACTCACTTTGGATCGCAAGCTGACGTGGCACTCGCGGCGATCCTCCGGCCTTAGCCACCCAAATGCTGGGATTACAGGCGTGTGCCGCCACACCTGGCTACGAAGACGTAAGGCAGCCGCTGCGCAGCTCACTACACTTCCTGCCCCGGCGGCTCGCACATGCGCGATCCTCAGACTCTCGCGAGAAGAGCCGCGCGGGCCGGAAAGATGGCGGCCCCCAGTCCCCAGGAGCTTAAGAGCCAGGCGGTGCCCAGCGCCACCAAACCGGACGGCGAGATGGTACTGCCGGGCTTCCCCGACGCAGACAGCTTCGTGAAGGTAAGTTCGTTCTCGGGGACACCAGGGCCCCGCCTGGCCGGGAGCATCGGGGCTTCGGCGGCCGCCGCTCACCCCAAAAGCTTGGGCCCGGCCGAGGGCGAGGGTGGCCACCGCGCGGAACTGGCGCTCGGGGACCCCCGCCGCCGGCGAGGACAGCGCAGCCTCCAGTGAAGACCGCCGCTCCGCGTCCTGGGGTGGGCTTCCTTGGCGCCGCTTGTGCCCAGCTGTAGCATCCTCATCTCCGACGAGCGTGCCTGCCAACTGTCAACAGGGATCGGCTGCTTCATGCTCTCCGGGTCTGGCCGGCGCCCTTCCCGCTAAAATAGCTCTGCTTCTCTCTGGAGTCCGGTCCTCTGGGCCTCTGGGTTAAACATCACCTGCCACCACTGCCACCGAGTGCCTGCCCTCCAGGCGTCAAAGCACATTTATCACTACCTCGCTGAAACTCTAAGGGTGCATTTAAATTATTTGCAAGACGTAGATTATGAACAAATGTAAATCGAGCTTTAGTCTGGCGTGGTGGCACAGACTTGTAATCCCAGCACTAGGAAGACAGAGGCCGGAGCATTACTGTGAGTTCAAGGCCAGCCTTTACATGGTTTAAGTTCAAGGCCAGCCTGAACTGCATAGGGAGACCCAGCCCAAAAAATAAATAGCGGTGAGAAATTTCTGAAAACTCCACTCACATTGTATCTCAGTTGTAGTATTCAGTTGACTTTGAGTAGTTTGTGAACAAGCTGTCACCCGTGATTGCAGAGATATTCATGCTTTTGTGCCACCACGTTACTGTACATGACTTAATTGCCTACCTCTCTTTTCATGTTCCCCCACCTTGGGAAACATTTAACTGAGGAATGTTTGGGTTTTTTTTGGGGGGGGGTGTGACACGATTTCACTATGCAGTTCAGGCTGGCCTTAAACTCTCAGAGATCCTCCTGTCTCAGCCTCCCAAGTGTTGGAATTATAGGTGTGGACCACCATGCCCAGCTCTTGGGAAACATTCACAAAACTGACTATGCTGTCACTTGGCCTGTGGGTGAACGGCCATCTTTTATAATGAAGGCTACTTCTGGTTTTTCTCGTGGCCTCACAGTTTAAATAGAGAACTACTTGGTATTAGCTGAGTCCACTATTATAAATTGGTCATCTGAAGTATTTAGAGTATGCTCATATTCTTTTTAGATGTGTGTTAAGATGAAAATCAGGGGCTAGGGATTTAGCTCAGCAGCATAAGCACCTGCCTGGCAAGTGCAAGCCAATTCACCAAAAAAAAAAAAAAAAAAAAAGTGCACGAAAATCACAAAGGTTTTGATCCCCGGTACCCAAAAAAAGTTTTTCTTAATTTAAAAAATACTTTTAAAAAATCACAAAGGTACAATAGATTTCTGTAGAGAGCTCAAAGATCTGAACTTGAGTTACAGTAGTAGCATTCCTGTCACAGGCACCTTTCTAAGTGATTCAGCTTCCTTATTGAAATGCCACAGTGTTATGCAGTTTATATTACACCCTTTTTTCAGAGGCAAAAACTAAAGTCCTAAGAAATTAAACAGCTTACTGAAAATATCAGTTCAAAACTGAAGATGTAGCTCAAGTGGTGGATTACTTTGCCTAGCATGCATGAGGCCCCGGACTTAATTCTCAGCACTATGGAGTCTTGAGTTCTTAGGTAGAGCCCAGATTTGAATTCAGGTCACTTTAAATGTTGGTCGTATTGTGTAGTCAGGCACTGCATAGTGATGTTTTTGGTTAACGAGAGACCACATAGAGGTTGCTGGTCCCACAAGATCATATGGCCAATGATGTCATAACCATTTTGGTACATGTACCGTCTGTGTTCACCTGATTTCAAATCACTTAAGGATGCATTTCTCAGAACATGTGCTGGTTGCTAAGGGACACAGGATTGTAGTCTGTGCTTGTTTTCTCTTTCCCCACTCTACCAAGAATGTAAGCCCCAAACTTGGGTTTGCACTCAGCATTGAATCCTCAGGACCAGAAAGAGCTTGCGGATGAGAATTGAAAGACATTGGACAGATGAATAGAGTTCCTTATTATCCAGCATTACATATGCTGTATGCTCAGCATAATGGGCTTCAAGACAGTGATTTACTGAATGAAGACCCATGTTTGAAACATGCCATCTTTTCTTGGTTTTAACAGTTTGCTCTTGGGTCAGTGGTGGCAGTCACCAAAGCGTCTGGGGGCCTGCCACAGTTTGGTGACGAGTATGACTTTTACCGAAGTTTTCCTGGCTTCCAGGCATTTTGTGAAACCCAAGGAGACAGGTTGCTGCAGTGGTAAGTATTACGGATCCTTTTCTTGTGTTAGTGAAAGAAATAAAAATGGAGGTGAATAATTTTTCCTGAAATTTGTTTTTCCACAGTCGTAATTTTCTGTGCCATAAAGAACAAGAAAATGTGGGGCTGGGGATTTAGCTCAGCGACATAAGCACCTGCCTTGCAAGCAGGCGGTCGTGAGTTCGATCCCCAGTACCGGTAAAAATGAAAAAGAAAAAAAAAAAAAAAAAAAAAAAAAAGAACAAGAAAATGTGAAAATGAAGCAGTAGATTATTGTTAGGAAAATATTACTTGGTAAATTTTTAATTTTTTTTTTTTTTTTTTGTCTTTTTCCTTTTTAACCAGTACTGGGGATCGACTGCCTGCTTGCAAGGCAGGCGCTTATGCCGCTGAGCTAAATCCCCAGCCCAAATTTTTAATTTTTTAAAAAATACATTGGTGTTTGCATTTATCAGCAAAAAATCCTTTTTTGCCATGTGGAATTGAACCCAAGGCCTCAAACATGCTAGGCAGTGGTTCTACCACTGAAGTATAGCCCATCCCTTTTCTTACTTTATTTTGAAACCTGGTAAGCATGAGATTGTGAGTTCAATACCCAGTACCAAAAAAGGGAAGGAAGGAAGGAAGGAAGGAAGGAAGGAAGGAAGGAAGGGAGAGAGGGAGGAAAGGTGGTCTCGGGGTGATGTATTCCTGCAGTACTCAGGAGGCTGAGACAGGAGGATTGCTATGAGTTCAAGACCGGTCTGAACTGTATAGCAAGATCCTATCTCAAAAAGCCAAAACAAAGGAAAATAAAAGTATTTGGACAGAAAATACATAGACATTGATTGTTTAACTGTTACATGACAGAGTTAGAGAAGCTCTTACATGAGGAATGCAGCTGGGCATGGTGCTGCGCCCTGTAATCCCAGCCCTCCTGGAGGCTAAGGCAGGAAGACCCAGAGTTTGAGCTCAGTGTGGACATTTAATGAAATCTTCCCTCAGAATAAAAAAGGTCTCAGATGTAGCTCAGTACAGAGCTGTGGGTTCAGTCCCTGGTACTAGGGGGAAGTGCAGAGTCCATTTTTTACATGGTGTCATATTTTTAGAATTTAAAGAAGCTTTGAGGTAATTTCACCCTTCAGTTAACAGATGAGTCAAGTCTTAGTAAAATGTGAATTGCACAAGGTCACACAGCGGGATTACTTTTTTTTTGTTTTGGTTTGGTTTTTTTGAGACAGAGTCTCAGTGTGTAGCGCAGGCTGGTCTTGAACTCACTTATGTAGCCCAGGCTGGCCTCAAACTCCCAACAGTCCTCCTGCCTCAGCCTCCCGAGTGCTGGAACCACTGTGTACCATCATACCCTGCCTACTTACTTATTTTTAAAAACTTAAAATCGCAAATCATGTCTGTTGTTGTTCACAGTCATCCCTGCCGTGGCCACGGAGGCAGCATTCGGTTTTGGTGCTGGGCATGGAGCTGGGGCCTTGGGTGTGCTAAGCACATTGGTTTCTAAAGGTTGCTATAAGCAAACAGGTTTCATTAGTTTGGTCAAAAAATATCGGGAGTGGCCTGAGCCAGCCGTTTGCGTTTTCTCCCATACTGTCAACAAATGTAATAAAGGTGCCCAGACTGACCTTGGTTTCCCTTTCCCAGCATGAGTAGGGTCATGCAGTATCACGGGTGTCGCAGTAACATTAAGGACCGAAGTAAAGTGACGGAGTTGGAGGACAAGTTCGATTTACTGGTCGATACCAATGATGTGATTCTGGAGAGAGTGGTGAGTATTTCACCTACACTTACATGAACAGATGAGGAAAGATCTTTTTATATTAAAATGTACAGAGAAACCCTGGCAGTTTCCACACGCTAACAGGTTGTGTCACTGGAGCATCATCAAGCAGTTTAGAAAATAAAAAGGAAATTAGTTTATTAACATTTCTTACCAGTCATAACATTCCCTACTGAAGGCTGCATCTTTTTGCTTAAAAGTAACTACAGTTGTCTTCAAAATATCCCTGCTCTTAAGCCATATATATACACACACGTGTATATGGGTATAGTTACACTTCAGATAGTTAAAAAATTCAGTGTTCTTAAAAACAAAAGCTGGGTGTTGTGGCACACGTCTGTAATCCTAGCACTCAGGAGGCTGAGGCAGGAGAATTGCTGCAAGTTCAAGGCCAGCCTAGCTACATAGTGAATCAGGACCAGCCTGAACTACATAACAAGATGCTGTTTCAAAAAAAGAAGAAAAAATTACTTCCTGGTGAAGCCAGCCTAAGGGTTGTGCTCACACACCAACTTCCTGAGCTGCCAGCTCTGTGTGTATCCTTCCTGTTACTCACACGCAGGCTGCCGGCCCCGCCCTAAGGGCGGAAGGAGTAGTATATTACCCTGCCTGACTTATGGCCAGCTTACTCCTGACTCCAGAGCCAAGCCTCGGTGACAGTTACACAGCAGTCCTGCAGAATAAATCACCTTCCCCCAGGGACAGTCCTGGAGGTGGGGAGATTGTGCCCTTCTGTCTCACGGAGTCACCTCGCCCTAGTCTGATGCCCAGCATGTTCTTTCAGTGGTCTCTCCTGTCATCTGATTTCAAGTCCCACTGGGCTGCCATCTGTCACCTGTGGGCACTTCCCTAGGCAGTGCCCAAACTGATACTCTGTAGACTCATCAGGACACCTCCCTTCCGTTACAGATACTGTACCGCTTTGGTTTCCCCAGTGCCGGGAGTGGATCCTGGGGTCTTGTGTGTTGCTGGCCAGGAGCTCTATCACGGAGCCGCATTCCTAATGGTTCCTCTCCTTTTAGGGTATTTTACTGGACGAAGCCGCAGGGCTGAATAAGCACCAGCAGCCTGTCCTCCCCGCAGGCCTCCAGGTCCCCAAAACGATAGTGTCCAGCTGGAACCGGAAGGTGAGGGGCTTTCAGGCTCACGAGAGCCCTGTTGTGAGCGCCGCAGCAGAGCTTCGGCCCGTTGTGATTTGCATTTCTTTTTTCACCTCCTGGACACAACTGGCCACTGCCTGCTCTGACCTCTTCTCATAAACACAGCGCTCTCCAAGTCAGGGAGCAGCTTAGCAATGAGGCTGTTGTCTCCTTGGAAAACAAATTCAGTTTGCTTTTCTAATTCATCAGGTTACTGTGTTAAAGAGTGTTTGTATACATTGATCCTAGGCAGGCGAATATGGCAAAAAAGCCAAATCCGAAACTTTCCGGCTGCTTCATGCAAAAAATATCATCCGGCCTCAGCTCAAGTTCCGAGAGAAGATTGACAATTCCAACACGCCATTTCTTCCTAAAATCTTCATCAAGCCCAACGCCCAGAAGCCCCTCCCTCAGGGTAAGCAGTGCTACCTTGCTTGTGTTTGAGTTTGAGTCCTGCCGCCAGCCTGAACGGGGGAGGTCTCTGCCACTTCCTGTCTTAGAGGAGAAAAGGCAGGAAGGTGTGCGGTCCTTTCTCCATGTATTTCCACCCCTTGCTTGGGTCTCCAGTTCTCTCCAAGGAGAGGCGGGAACGCCCCCAGGACCGGCCTGAGGACTTGGATGTGCCCCCTGCCCTGGCGGATTTCATCCATCAGCAGCGGACTCAGCAGATCGAGCAGGATATGTGAGTGTCTGCCTGTGTCTCAGCTTTCTCCCCCTTTCCAATCCCATCTGCACTCACGTGTGCACAACGGAGCTGGGGAGCAGCGGATTTCACCTCCTCCTCACCTGGGTCTGGTTGAGCCTCCTGCGGGGCTCTCAGGCGGCCCACACAGCACTATCTCGAGTGACCCTCACAGCGGTTCCCAGAGGTGGCAGGCGGCCTGTCCCCGTTCTGTCGCTGTGAGAACACAGTTAGAGGTGCTCGCTTCCCACAGCACTAGAAGTGTGACCCCAGTTCTCCGAAACCCACCTTCTGATGCTGCTTCTCTGCCTTTCTGCTCAGGTGGGAACTCAGGCAGGAGGAGGTGCTCACTAACAAATTCAACAGGAAGAGGGTTTTCCACTGCAGCATAAGCATCCTGGAAAAACTGCTTAAAACAGACACGCAGACTGGGGTGGGCAGGACGTATGCTTAGCATGTGCAGGGCCCTGGGTTTGCCACCCAGAACCACGGGTAAAGTAAAGGGGGCTTCAGTAGCAGTGCAGGCGGATGAGAACTGCTCGGAGGGGCTGTTTCCCCACTTGGTCCGTCCGTGTGCGCATCCATTCCTTCAGCCTGGCTCAGCTCGAAATGCCGCCAGCCAAGTGCTAGGAAAGGAAAGGCAGTGGAAGAGGGGCCGCCCTCCTGGAACTCACTGAAGAGGCAGGATTGGGCTTGTGTGTTGTTTTTCCTCTTTTAGTGGTGCTGGAGATTGAACTCAGGACTTCTGCGTTATTCTGACATCCCAAGCACATTTTCATTTTTTGAGAGAGGGTCTCAAGTTGCTCACGCCCCAGCTTGTAATTCTCCTGGCTCGGCCTCCTAGAGTGCTGGGCAATAGGCATGCCCCAGTGCACCCGGTTCAGACAGGGTTTTATGAAAATAAAGGAGAGAGGGACAGAAAAAAAGCATGTAGCTCCTGACCAACTGAATTATTTGTACTAGTGTTGCTAACCTAACAAATTTGATACGCTAAACCACAAGCATTAGACATTTTTATCTTTTTTTTTTTTAAGACAGAGTTTTGCTATGTAGTTCAGGCTGGCCTTTACCTCACAATGATCCTTCCAAGTGCTGGCATTACAGGTGAGCACTCTGTGCCCAACTCACTGTATCTTTTTTTTGTTTGTTTGTTGTTTGGTCTTCTTTGAGGTAGGGTTTCACTATATGGTTCAAGCTGGCCTTGAACTCACTTTGTAGTCTGCGCTGGCCTTGAACTCATGGCAGTTCTCCTGCTTCAGCCTCCTGAGTGTTAGGATTGTAGATGGGCACCACCACGCCTGGCTTACTTTATCATTTTTATGTTAGTCACAGCACCAGCCATGGAGTTTTGCAAATAACCATTCCAGTGTTTATAAAGCTGCAGGCCTGGTGAAGCACACCGGTACTCAGAGACTGGTGAAGAATCCCAGCACTCGGGAGGCTGAGCAGGAGGGCCCCAGAGTTCCAGGCCAGTCGGAATCTCAGGGAGACCCTCTCTCAAAAAAACCAAACACAGGCCAGCCGTGGTGGCACTTGCTTATGATCCCAGCACTCGGGAGGCTGAGGCAGAAGGACTGCTGCAAGTCTGAGGCCAGCCTGGCTGCATAGTGAGTTCAAGGTCACAGTGAACTATAGAACAACACTGTCTCAGAACTAAAAAAAAAAGGCCTGGGATTTAGCTCAGCAATGTAAGCACCTGCCGGGCAAGCACCAGGTCGTGAATTCAATCCCCGGTACAAAAATCTAAAAAAGAACTTTAAAATGCTGTCTGGGTGTTCAGTGTCTCTAGATGAATAGACTAATTATTATACTGCAGGCGTAGTCAGATTTCAGCTGATTTATTTGACACATTCAAATAAACATTGCAGTAGTGATGCTTTATACTATAAAGAGATTTGCAGAATAGCCGTTTTTCCTCACTTATTTTTACAAACTGGATCAGGTAATTGTTTTTCCTGTGAATCATGCAATTAAGATGTCTGTTTATTTCTTCGATCAGGTTTGCACATCCTTACCAGTATGAACTGGATCACTTTACTCCATCTGAGTCAGTGCTTCAGAAGCCGCAGCCCCAGGTTAGCACCCCGGCCGGGGTTGGAGGTTATCCAGGGAGCCTGAAGAAGGAAATCGGTAGCTTACTCGCTGTGACTTTGGACACACTTGTGGAGTGTCTTTAAAGTAGAACGGCCTGGGACTCACCGTGTACTTGGGGGGGGGGGGGTGAATGTCGCCTTTCTCTCACTGTGATGTACTTTGGTGCTGCAGCTGTACAGACCTGTAGAAGAAACTCCCTGCCACTTTGTGTCCTCCCTGGATGAACTCGTGGAACTCAACGAGAAGCTGCTGCGCTGTGAAGAGTTTGCTGTGGACTTGGAGGTATCTCGCAGTTGACCTGGAAATTGTGCCTTTGCTCTGAGTTCCCTACCTGAGAAGTGTAAAAGGGTGACTAACCTGTTTCTGTTAGTAGTTCCCCGTGTAGCCGGTCTCTGGCTGACTCCTCCGGGTCAGTCACGGAAAGCCTAGTGATGTCCTTTCCCACCCCCTCCTGTACCCGCGCTAGCACCACTCCTACAGAAGCTTCCTGGGCCTGACCTGCCTGATGCAGATTTCCACCCGCACAGAAGACTTCCTTGTGGACACCCTGGAGCTCCGCAGCGAGATGTACATTCTCAACGAGAGCCTCACCAACCCCGCCATCGTGAAGGTCAGCCAGCCCTTCCCAGCCCCTGCTCGTGAGGCAGGGCCACAAACCCAGCAGTACACGGCTCCTGCTTCTCACCCAGACCTGTAGAGCCGGGAGGATCTTACCATCTACCCTAAGTTCCACACACTAGGGCTGGTCTCTAAACGCTGTAGGAACAGCCACGGTACAGCCCTTACCCTAACCCTTACCGCCGGAAACCTGTTAAGTCACCACACTGACCACTGCCGCCGTGAGGGTTGCTTGGGCTTGTGGCCACTCCTCGGGCGGATGGCACTGCCTCCCCAGACATGAGGCCTTAACAATATGCACTTAGGAGGTCAGATGAAGGCTATGGTCCAGATTAAAAGAAACATTTAAGACCGTGTACTTCTCACTCTCACGCCTCCATTTCTAGTGCTCGGGTGAGCTGGGGCAGAGTTAGCTCAGAGGCGGGCGCCTTCTCCTGCGCAGTACCACCTGGCTCTGGTGTCCTTTCAGGTCTTCCACGGTGCCGATTCTGACATCGAGTGGCTGCAGAAGGACTTCGGGCTGTACGTGGTGAACATGTTTGACACCCACCAGGCCGCACGCCTTCTCAACCTAGGCAGGCACTCGCTCGACCACCTGCTGAGGCTCTACTGCGGGGTGGAGTCCAACAAGCAGTACCAGCTGGCAGACTGGAGGGTCCGGTCAGTTGCACTCGATGTGGGAGTGTGGGTTGCAGAAGAAAGCCCGGCAGTCCTGTAATCTCCCAGCATGGAGACCCGGGCACGGGCACGAGTGGCGCTAGTGCTCTCTGCGGCTCAGAAGTGGTAGGAAATTTTAGGATGGTCGTGCGGAGCTCACGTGGGGCTGATGGTTGTACTCGGCCTTCTGGGAAGGTGCGCCATGTCCAGTGTGTGGGCCACCCAGCTCTGGCAGGGTCCTCGCCTGTGGGGGAAACCGAGGGTGCACTGGGACTTGAGTGTGGCATTCATGTCTGCTGTCGCACAGGCTGGTCACATTCTCAGGAGGCCTTGCCCTCTGAGCACCTTCAGGGCCTGGCTTCCTCCCTGGGCTGCGGTGTCGTGTGAACACGGGCTTTTCTCCATCTCTTCGAGCCAGGGTTTCTAAATAGAAATATAAGCAAGCTAGATGGGGTGGCACACGCCTGTAATCCCAGCATTGTAGGAGGTTGCAGCCGTAGGTTCATGAGTTCAAGCCCAGCCTGGGCAATTTTGTGACTTAGTGAGACCCTGTATTAAAATAAAACATTAGGGCCGGGGATTTAGCTTAGTGGTGTAAGCGCCTGCCTGGCAAATGCTAGGTCATGAGTTTGATCCCCGGTATCAAAAAAAATAAAATAAAAACATTTTGAAGGGGTTGGAGATGTAGCTGAATGTGAAAAGCCTAGCTTCAGTGCTCAGAACTGCTAATGATAATAAAAATAAGAGGAACTGTATAATATAGCCAGATGCACTTGAAATCCCAGCTGCTTGGGAGGCTGAGGCAGGAAGATCACAATTCTATCCCATTCTGGTCAACTTAGAGAGACCTTGTCTCAAAATTTTAAAAATTTTAAAGGGATGGGGACATCACTCAGCATGTTCTAGGTTTAACCTCTAGAACTGGGGACGTAGAGGGAGGCCAACTACAAGACGACAATGTATTACTTACCTGAAAATCAGTCCCAGCTAGCAAGCCCTTCTCTTGGACTGGGTTCTTCAGGGGTGTTTCCTGTGTCATCCTCACAACAGCCAGTGAAGTGCCTGTCACGGTGTCAGGGGAAGCCAGTAACACTTAGGTTAGGAACCTACCCAGGAATAGATGAACGGATCTAAGAGTCACTCCCGGGACTGCAGTGGTCTTTTTTTTTTTTTTTTTTTTTTTTTTTTTTTTTTTAGGTAGGGGTCATGACCAGGTACTTGCAAGGCAGGCGCTTACGCTGCTGAGCTAAATCCCCAGCCCCGACTGCAATGGTCTTATTCTAACCACATCGTCATCCTGCCTCCCCCTCCGCCAGCCACTGCAGTAGTGGTGTAGTATATAAATGCTCCTGCAGCCACAGCACTAACTGGGAAAGAATTACTGAGGTCAGAGGGCTCCAGAAGGTCCTAGCGACTACAGGTACACAAGTGCAACTGCTGTCTGGGGGACAGTCACTGAAACCGTGTCCCGGCCTGGGATTTTAGGCCGCTGCCAGAGGAAATGCTCAGCTACGCCCGGGACGACACCCACTACCTGCTGTACATCTATGACAAGATGAGGCTGGACCTGTGGGAGCGCGGCAACGAGCAGCCTGTCCAGCTGCAGGTGGTGTGGCAGCGGAGCAGGGACATCTGCCTCAAGGTACAGCCTCAGGGCCACCGCAGGCGGGCACGCAGGCTGGCACGCAGGCTCGCCATGTCTGACTAGGCACTGGCTCTCACTTCACTCCTTAGGTCTGTGACGAGAGCCAAATGTTCTCAAGAACCCGGGCACAATTTTGATTCCACTGATCTCAGATGTTCTTTGCGTTCTGCAGAAATTTGTCAAGCCTATCTTCACAGACGAGTCCTATCTTGAACTGTACCGGAAGCAAAAGAAGCATCTCAACTCACAGCAGCTGACAGCTTTCCAGCTGCTGTTTGCCTGGAGGGACAAAACAGCGCGCAGGGAGGACGAGAGCTACGGGTAAGGGACTAATGGGAAAGGGACGCTTTCCCTGTGGACGCGAAGCCTGCTGTCCCCACAATGGAATGGGACACGGAATGGAACTTGCTGGCTGAGCGTCACGTGATGCTGTTGTGTTTGGTTCCAGATATGTTCTGCCAAACCACATGATGCTCAAGATAGCTGAGGAGCTGCCCAAGTGAGTCCGACCTCCATCCTAGCTCTCCCATCCTGCAGACCTGCTCAGGCTGTGTCAGCCCTCCGGGCTCAGAAGGTGGGAGCCCAAAGAGTCCCAGATGGTAGCCTGAGGACTGCTGTGTGAGCAGTGACACCTTCAAAGGGCAGGTCCTAGTGACTGCCTTAATCAGTCGAGTTCAGTGTCAGTCTCCCGACCCTGTCATCTGTGCTTTCTTCCAAGCGGAGCCCTGGGGTTGTCAGCATTTTAGGACGTGAGTTGAAGCATAGGCAGGAAGCGCATCTGCAGTCTTCGGGCCCCGGGGCCGCCTGCTGGAGTCAGGCTGAGAGCCGGGCAGCGAGAGCTCACGCGCAGTGGCGCCCCGGGCCTGCAGCTTGGCCGTGGGGCTCTGACTGTCCGGGCCGTACTCCTTGTCTGCCTCCCGCCTCTGGGTCTGAACGCAGGCCTTCACACTGAGCTGCATCCCCAGCCCTCTTTGTTTTGTTACATGTTTTGAAACAGAATCTCACCAAGTCACTACATTCCTGGGTTGAGCTCACACTTGCGATGGTACTTGAGCCTCTCAGGAGCTCAGTCCTGTGGGCCGTGCTTCTGTGGTGAGGTGGGTGTGTGCTTGTCCTCAGGGAACCTCAGGGCATCATCGCTTGCTGCAACCCGGTTCCACCTCTTGTGCGGCAGCAGATCAATGAAATGCACCTTCTAATCCAGCAGGCTCGAGAGATGCCCCTGCTCAAGGTAAGCCCTCCCGCTCCAAGGCCCTGACCAGCAGCCTAGTACTCATGGTGTCCTGTGTCCGTGAGCTGCTGTCCAACCTAAACAACCCAGAGAAGGCAGGAATTGGGGAATCCAGTGAGTGGGTCTCCATCAGCTTTGTGTGCGCCTGTGGTCCCGGGGTTAGACCAAGGGCCTTCATTTTCTTTATGGTGGGCAGGGGCGAAAACGTACCCTTCCTATTTTATGACCTTGTCGTTGATGGTCCGGCAGCAAGTGTGAACATCTGGTAACTGGGCCAGTGAGCTGTTGCCACAGAGCAGTTCACGTGACAGAGTGAGATGCAGCGAGGCTGCCTCCGAGCCTGTCGGCAGTCCACGAGGGAAGCAAGTGGCCGGGGCACATGGTGGTCACAGAATGGAAGGGACGGTACCGCGAGCATCAGAAGCGGGCCTTGGACGCGGATGGTGGCAAGGGCTGCCATCTGGCTCTGCGCACTAAGTGCTGCTGAGGCATCACCCAGCAGCGGACCAGTTTGGGGGATGAAGGCGGGGCCAGGACCACTTGGCGTACTTGGTTTGGCTTAGTGTTGTGGTGCTGAGCGTTGAACACCAAACAGTTTCCCCAGCCTGGTTTGTAAGACAGAGTCTGGCTAGCTTGCCCGGGCAGGGCTTGAATTCACAGTTCCCCTGGGCTGCTGGGATTACAGGCGTGTGCCAGCGTGCCCCACCAGCTCATTCCAAATTTAAGGCCTAGGGGAAAGGGAAGCTGTGAGAACCACAGACAGAGACAGGAATTCAGAAAGGGCTGGCTTTGCGAAGGAGATGCCGACGTCTGGGCAAGTTGAGGTGAAAGTGGGGCAGGTCCCTGAAAACGCAGATGTGTGTCTGGGTAACGCATGGGGAGGCCACAAGTGGGTACCTGCGTGGGCAGTGCAGCCGTTAGTGCTAGGTGTGCGTGCTTTCATTGAGATCTTTTTGTTTTGTTTAAATATCTTAGTTGGCTTCACTTCCCCATTATGCAATTAGGCAACATTTTTATTCCATAAAATAAATGTTTACGTGGTTTGTGTTGTAGTAGGGCAGTTCTTTTGCAGGGCAGGTTCTGCCGGGGATTGAACCCAGGACCTTGCACTTGCTAGGTAGGTGCTGTGCCTCTGAGTTATGTCTTTAGCCCTTGTTACAACAGTTTTAAATACCTCCCCTCATGCACAGAGCTCATGAATAGTCCAGGTAGTTCGGCTCAGTAGCCGTATTAGTAGGTGGTAAGGCATGCTAACAATTTTTTGAAAGGTTATTGACCCAGAAACCAAAATCAAAGAGTGCTGTGAGAACCAGGCATTGTGGGGCATGCTTGTAACTCCAGCACCACAGCAGGGGGCCCACAGCAGGCGGATCCCTGTAAGTTTAAGCCTGGGTGTCTTAGAGAGTCGTGTGATCATAAAGACATCTGTCGTCTGTCAGACAGACAGCAGTGCTGGCAGGACTTCCGGGGCTGAGGGGCAGCTCTGGTACAAGGAAGTGAGGAGTCCCTTCCCCTCCCGGCAAAGCAAGGCCCGGCCCTCCGTAGCCATGCGGATTGTTCAGGTAGAGTCCGCAGCTGTGGGCCCTGGCTCTGCAGTCCTCCGGGTTGTCACTCACGGCGCGTGTCTGACTGAGCACAGATATCGTGCCAGCTGCGGAAGTGAGACCAGGATGGGAGGAAAGGGTGTCTCGGGCCCCTGAGGTGCTCCCCATGGCGAGATGCAGTCTGCAGGGGAACAGTGTGTCACCGAATTGGCACAGACTCCCTCTGCCGCCTCCTTTTTCCTTAGTCTGAGACTGCAGCCGGGGTGAAGAAGAGCGGACCGCTGCCGGATATTGAGGTACAGTGTCACCTGCTGTCCCCTTGAGGGGTGGGGGGTCAGAGCTGGCACAGACAGACCTGCCAGCCAGGCTGGCCTCACTGGCCGAGCACTCGTGGCCTGCATGCAAGTTTCACATGTGGCCCACTGGCTCCTCTCTAATACAGAGGTTGGAGAATGTTCTCTTTGGACCTCACGACTGTTCCCATGCCCCTCCGGACAGCTACCCAGTCACCCCAACTGCCGGTAAGATGGGGGCCTCCCTATGGACACACAAGAAGGCAGGCCCCTGCCTGTGCTGACAACTTGCAGCCCTGAGTTCGCTGATCCCCGCACCCCCAGGGCCGGTGCCAGCGTGGAAGCAGGCAAGCCTCTTTGCTGACCTGAGAGAGGAGACTCTGCTGGACACCCAGTGCCTTCTCGCCACAGCTGTCATCACCGTGTTTGATGTGAGTGTGGGGAAGCCCACTGGAGTGCAGAGACAGACCCTGGGCCCTGTCTGTCGGGTTAGCCAGCAGGCCGAGGCCTGGACTGCAGCTCAGTGGCGTGCTTGCTGGCCCCAGACCACAGCGGGACAAGGCCTCTGGCTGGAGGGTTGCACACACCTTGACAGCATGGGGAGTGGTGTGGAGAAGCGAGCACTCGGGAGGCTCCTCTGCTGAGCCCTGTGTGTGGAGGAGTCTTCCAGGGATGTCGCTTGGAGGGAGGAGCGTGCAGGGTGAGGCGGTAGCTGCAGCAGCGGGTTGGTCCTTCGTGGGGCTCAGCAGGAGCAGCGCGTCTCTGTCTGCTGCCTGCAGCCAGCGCCCCTCCAGGTGCCTGGGAAAGGGGACACTAGGATGCCTTTCTGTGCTTGAACCACTTAGGAAGTAGCCTGCCAGTGCTGGCAGTGGGGAGTGGGCAGAGCCTTGTTGCCTGTCCCCAGAAGAGGTGACAGCAGTCACGACTGTTAGTGACTGTGCCCTTCCCAGAGAACCTGCATGGTTCACTCGGGCTGGGCCAGGCTCCTGGGATGTGCACGGGGCCGCCTTCCCGTCGGTCCCCCTTGGGCTACCAGGGATCGAACCTCTCGACTCCTTGCCAAAAGAAGGCCTGAGTGCACCCTGGGCGGGATGGCTTCGTGCTGAAGCAAGCAGATGAAGGGAGAGCGCACAGATGAAGGTCCAAGGACTCCGGACAGCCAGGGAGCGGGGAGGTGATTCTCAGAAAGAGCGGAGAAACAAGAGTGTTACCCATCTGAGAGAGGAGCGGTGTCCAGTGCGCTCAGTGCCCAGATGATAGAGCTGCATGATGCCAGGCTAATAATCCCACTATTTAGGAGGCTGAGGCAGGAAGATTACAAGTTCGAGGCCAGCCTGGGTACCTTAGTCCTTGTCTCAAGGTAAAAATAAAAATGTGAGGTCAAACCCCAACGCCAGAAGCATGTGGTCTTCAAAAGCAGCAGTACAGAAGTTAATAGGATTACAATCACAGCCGTATATTCCACGTTGTGGTAAGGCCAGGGGCATGGGATGCCGCCTGCAGGATGCACCTGCTTGCTCCCTTCATGCTCTCTTCCGACTTAATCACTTAAATTTAGATGGGGTCTTGTTGCAGCAGTTCGTGAGAAAAGATGGGGAGCTAGCTCAGTGCTGCAACATGCCTAGCCCTGGCCTCAGTCCCCAGCACTGCAGAAACAGATACCCCGGGCTGGGACAGTCAGTGGCTGAGCGCCTGCCCAGAACGTGGGCAGCCCTGGGGTCAGTCACCAGCAGCAGCAGCATGTAGGAGCTTTAGGGTGTGAGGGTTTGTTTCCCTATTGCTGGTACTGGGGATTGAACCCAGAGCCTTAGCGCTGGGCTACACCCCAGCCCTTTTTATTTACTGTGAGACCGGGTCTTACCAAGATGCCGAGTTGCCCAGGCTGAACTCTAACTTGCAGTCTTCTTGCCTCAGCCTCGTGAGCGCAGGGTTAACAGAGCCTTCAGGAGGTGTAGCGGCTGAGGGCCTTAGTACAGACTAGAGGCATAAACCGTGCTGTGTTCCGTCTGAGGGACTGTGCTCTGTCTGGGCTGTTACAAAGTGACACTACAGGTTAAGCAAAGCACCTTGCAGATTTTAGGGAAGGACATTCATTACATAATTCCATTCATTCCCCAGAAAGATTTATACTGTTAAATTTCCGGCATCAGTTAAGACCTCAAGCAGACCTCATTTAAATCCCTGTGCTGCCACATTAACCAAAAGGCTGTGAAAGACCTGCACGGCCTGTGCAAGCCTCGTGAGCGGCTGTCAGAGGGCGAGGGCGCGGCGCGGCGGCACTGGCAGGTGCACACTGCACCCCTCTGTGTGCTCACAGGCAGGGACCTTGTCCCCAGCAGAGTTTAAGAGAGCGTAGCCACTGCTGTCAGCATTACTCTTCCTGGCCTGGCCTGCATGCTGATGTCACCACATGATCGTGACTGTCCCTGCAGGAACCCAGTGCCGAGGAAAATGGAAACACTCCATTAACAGCCGCACAGAAAAGGGCCCGGAACATCATGGAGTCCTTTGAGAACCCATTCAGGATGGTGAGTAGCTGCAGCGGGGCCATGGGGCTCTACAGAGGGCTAGCGCGGGTCCTGTGGGTCCCCCATCTCTGGCATCCAGGGGGGACTCAGGTCAGCCATCTGAGGGCCCCGACCGAGGGTCCCAGCGCACCTCTCAGCTGTTTCCTGGCGTCCCTTGTGCAGTTCCTGCCTTCGCTAGAGCACCGGGCCCACATCTCCCAGGCAGCGAAGTTCGATCCCTCCTCGAAAATCTACGAGGTAAGTGGGCGCCACACCCTGTCTACGAGTGACGTGCTGGGGGGCGTCCTGCTTCTTTGAGCCAGGTGCCTGCCTTAGCCAGGCTGCATGTGGGGACCCTCTGGCCCCTGACCACAAAAGAAGGCCCCTTCAACACTAAGGGAAGGGCAGGGCCTGGGCCAGGCTCCCAGGAGCGCTGGGAAGCCTCGCAGGAGACAGGTTTGGGGCCTGGCTATGTGGGGTCCATCCCCAGCATGCGGGAGAGAAAGGTTTGTTCTGTGTTTTTAATTGAGGTTTGTTTCTATGTGATACAGTACACAAACCCTACATGCATGACTTGATATGTTTCTGCTGTGTGTCACCTCAGAGCAACTCGAGCCACCAGTTTGAGTGTTTTGTTTTATATCGTTTTGTTTGGGGTTTTTTTTTTTTTTTTTTGGTCTTTTTCCTTTTTATCGGTACCAGGGATTGAACTCATGACCACACACTTGCAAGGCAGGCGCTTATGCCACTGAGCTAAACCCCCAGCCCCCTCATTTTGTTTTTTTGAGGCAGGGTCCTGCTATGTAGTTGAGGCTGGCTTTTGAACTGTGTATCCCAGGCTGGCCTCCAAACACAGGGGTTAGGGCAGGCACATCACACCCGGCCCCGACAGCCCAGGTTTGGAACCTGGTCTTCCATCCTTCAGCAGCTCTGGGAATGCGAATGCCCTCACCCTGGTCTCTGCCTGGTTCTGGGAGCCAGCATGGCGACAGGAAGCCTCCCTCCTCTCCGTAGGAAGGGTGGTGACAAGTGTGGCAAGTATGGTGTCACTCAGCGACACCGTGGCAGGCCCGGGCCCTGTTGCTGAGGGTCTGCCTCCCCCCGCCACTCCGGAGGCACCTGGCAGCTGTTGGTCCTTCCCCGCTCCTTGCGGGTCGCCCGTGTCCTCCACTGCCTCGGTTCTGCGTGGGTGCCAGAGAAGCGCACCGCCTGGGCAGGTCCTGCCTGGAGCCCCGGCTGCTGTCACTGACCCTGTGCCCTGGGCAGTCCCCAGCCGGGCCCATCCCCTCCTCTGGGTTTTATTCTTAGTTGGCAGTGCTGGTGGGGGCTGAGCCGCTCCCTTTTATTACTTTTTTTTGCCCTGAGCAGGTCTCACCGGGCAGCTGAATTGCCTGGGCTGGGCCCCAACCTCCAGGCTTCTTGCTTGCGTGCTTCCTGCTCCAGGCCGCTGTCACCACACCCAGCCTCCCCGTCTCCTAAAGGAAGGGGCCAGTGGCGCCGGGGTCCCCCGTTTCCAGAGGGGCTGGAGTGGCAGGGGGAGCCTCCGGCCCAGGGCCCAGAATACCGCTGTACTTTGCTCTCCTCGGAGGGTCTTAGAAACGAAGCCAGCAGATTTGCTCTTGTGTCCTTAGGTCTGGAGCAGGTGGCCCTCGAGCCCTCTGCTGCCCGGTCACGTTCAGGAGCGGCTGGGTGGCAGAGCTCTGGAGGTTTTTGTTCTGTTTGCATTGCAGATCAGCAACCGTTGGAAGCTGGCCAGCCAGGTACAAGTACAGAAAGAAGCTAAAGAAACTGCCAAGAAGAAGGCGGCGGAGCAGACAGGTGGCCGTGACTTCCCTGCGAAGGCAGCGTGCTTGATACAGGGCAGCGCTTGCTGACGGCGCCGCTGGACTGCGGGCAAGAGTCAGCAGGAGCCGCCCTGGCGGTGGGGCTCGGCCCCTGCTGGGCGCGGTGGACTGTGCCCTGTGCCGTGAAGCCAAGGGAGGGGTGCCGGCAGAGGGGTGCGGAGCGCCTGGGCGGGCTGTGACCACTGTCCCCAGGTGGTGCTGAGGAAGCGGCTGGTCAGCATGACGTTGAGCAGAGCCCCTCCCGAAGCGGGAGCCGCACGGAGCTGGGTGTCGCAGATGAGAGGGGAGGGGGCCCGGCCAGAGGGTTGGGTCCTGAGCAGCCACAGGTGACAGTCAAGGTCAGCCTTGTGCAGGCGGTCCTGAACCCAGACAGCCTGCGGCAGAGGATGAGTGGGGCAGGAGCCCAAGTCGAGGTAGAGGTGCCGGGCGCCGGCGCCTGTTCCATGGACACTTCTGCCTTGCAGCCGCCCGGGAGCAGGCAAAGGAAGAGTACAAAGCCACCGCAGGGCAGGCCATCTCCGTGCGACAGCAGGCCGTGGTGCGTGCTGGTTTCCTTCCATCCACGTCCGGGACTCCTGGACTGTCCTAGCGGAGAGCTCACCCACAGGCTCCAGTTCACTGTCCCCACCCAGCCTCTGCCCCTCCCCTGCCCTCGCTGACCCTGCCCTGCCCTCGAGGGTCTCTCCCTGACACTATCTTCTGCTGTTTGTTAACTGGCATGGCAGCACCAGGCAGAGCCCCCGTTTCCTGTGCCACTGTGCCCTGGGGTCACTTTATCCTCACCTCGCCAGAAGGCTTAGGAGTTCCCAGGGTTTTCTGGGGCAGGGACTCACTGAAGCCCAAGCTGACCTTACTCGCCCAGTAATCATCCTGCCTCTGTCTCTGGAGTGCCAGGCCACACGAGGGCACCCTGCTAACCCTGCTGTTTTAAGTGGCTGCTGTCTCTATCCAGTTAGGAACTGGGCCAGCTGGTACCGGCCACATGATTGTCCTGAATTGCAGCTTGCTGGGCCCCAGCCCCTCTGTACACTGTAGTTTATGACGCTCAGGTGACACAGGCCTCCCTCATGTGATGCCCCGAATCTGAACACGGCCCTGCAGGTGGAGGGCGGCACCATCGGCCACGCACAGAAGCACTGGACAGGCTTGTACAGCCCTGCGGCTGCTGTGTGCGGTCCACGGGGGCAGGCAGAACGGAATGTCCGCCTCCAGGCCGCGGCCCCTCCCTGCATTCCTCCAGTTACACAGTATCCGCAAACCCCCACAATCCAGCCCCAGTTACCCCAAGCCTTTCAGACCAAGTTCTGTCTGTGCTGGAGGCAGCAGGGCCTCGTCCTCTCACGCGCCCCTGCGCTTCCCTCCCTGGCCACACTCCCTGCAGCTGGAAAACGCCGCCAAGAAAAGGGAGCGAACCACAAGTGACCCGAGGGCCACAGAGCAGAAGCAGGAGAAACGACTCAAGACTGCCAGGAAGCCAAAGGCCCCGGCTCCACCCGAGAAAGAGTTCACGCCTTATGACTACAGCCAGTCGGACTTCAAGGCTTTCACTGGTGAGGAACTGTCCGAGGGGCCACGGGCCAGGAGAGCACGGGCACCCACCGATGAACGGACAGGGCCCTGGCCGCTGTATGGCCAGTGGGTTCGGCCCCTTCCTTGTCACTGCCTAGAAACGTCCGTGCTGCACCCCCAGCACAAAGATCTTGTGTGTTGAAATCGCCAAACACCTGGAGGCCAGTCCTGGGGCTGCAGCCAGGGAGCCCGGCTGCCCTGCAGGCACACGTGGTACCCCTGGCTCAGCCCGCAGAGTGGCACAGCCTGTGGAGACCTGAGGGTGCCAGTCAGGACAGTCCACACGGGGGCCCTCATCCCGGGCAGCGCGTCGGGCCGGGTCTCTCACACTGGCGGTGGAGCTGCTTGATGTGAAAGTGGTCACCTGCCCTCAGCAGCCACCTGTGCGAGATGACCTGGCCTCGGCTACTCAGAGAGGCTAGGACGAACGGAAATGCGGGTCACGGCACAGGGTGGGGCTCCTGTCACACTGTGAGCCAGCTGTGCGTCACCTCAAGGGCCCTGGCCTCCGGGCCTGTGCTTACCTTTCAGGAGATGGCAAATCCAGACCTTCCTCCCAGTTTGACCCGAACAAGCAGACGGCAGCTGGCAAGGTAGGAGATGCAGCTGGGGCCGGAGGGCAGCTGCGCCTCGCTCTGCTCCCAGCCCCGCCGAGGCCTGCCTTGCTCCTGTGTGACTCCCTCTGCAGGGTGACTCCAGGGTTCCCTTCCTGGCCCTGCAGCTGAAGCCCAGGGGCTTTCCGCCTGGTTCTCAGCGGCTTCGTGGGGCTTCTCGTTTCAGAAATGCGCTGCAGCCAAAAAACCCAAACAGTCAGCGGGGGCCAAAAGCGTGTCCTTCCCGACCGGGAAGTCGGACAGGTGCGTGGTCTCAGCGGGCCGCCCTCACGTCAGGGTACAGCAGCACAGAAGAGACCCTCTTATTCTGAAACCTCGGGAGGGGACCAGATTTGCTCTGAGCCATGTACCACATGGCCACGCACTGTGTCGCAGATCAAATCCCCGAGCTCTTTCCTCATGCTGTAGTTTCCTGGGTCCCTCACAGCACACAGGTGTGCAGTTTCCCTGGAAGGCCTGCCGGTTCCTTAGGAATGAGAAAACAAACAGTGTGGGTTGTCATTGTTGCTAAAGAAGGTTGCAGCAGAAGGCATGAAAGGCTCACACCTGGGCAGCCAGGTGGAGCCTGCCCCAGGCACGCAGGAGACGCTGCTCTGCTGTGCACCGCCGCAGGCCACTGCACTGCGCCACCCCCTGGCCGGGCCCTGCCGCTGGCCTGACCCCCAGTGTCCAGCTTGGTCCTCCAGACCCTGAGCAAGCCGCCGCCACAGGCAGGGAATAACTCATCTTGTGCTGTTCCCACAGAGGCTTCAGGCACAACTGGCCGAAGAGATAGTGCCGTAGGACCTCGGGACCGACCGGGCCTGGAGGCGCCCGTGTGCTGCTGGTTTTGTACGGACGGATTTTTAAATCATTAAAACGAACCCCTCCTGAAGAAAGCTGGTCTGGGCTTGTCTTTCGCCACCACCACAGCTGTGTCGGGGAGGACAGGCCCCCGCCCAGTCAGGTAACGGTCTTCGATGAGGGCCCCCTGTGCTTTCTAGAGGACTGCAGGAGAGGTGCGCGGCCTGCATCTAGGGCTCCAGGCTCCCTGACCTCAGCTAGCTTGTAGCGGCGGGGAGGAGCCAGCACCAGGCGCGGCGGCTGTGCACAGCTTGTTCTGGCCCTGCTCCCTATCTCGTCCTGTAAAAGGCAAACTGTTCTTTGCTGATTAGAAAACACGAAACACTGGCCCTAGGCTGCGGCTCGCTGGTGGACACATGCGGCCACACATCCTTAGGACTGCAGGAGAGAGAACAGTGGTTACACGGCGTGCACACAGAGACACGGCAGTCCTGCCCCAGGGAGGTACCGTTAGCACAGAGGAAACCAGCACCACACCCGGGAGGGCCAGCTGTGTATGACCCTGGCTGCTGAGGTCGCTAGGTCTGGTCAAACTGGCCTTGCCCCACCCTGAACAGCCAGGCAGGAGTAGCCGCAGAGCTGGACCACGCACAGAGCCTCACTGACCAGGAGTGAAGCTTCTCAGAACTAAAGCAAATCCTTGTGCTTTATTTAAAAGCTGTCTTGGGGTTTGATTTTTGTGAGCATTTGGGTTTGGGGTTTTGTTTCTGTGGTGCTGGGGATTGAACCCAGGGCCTTCACGGTTACCTTTTGTTTTTATTACATTTCAGAACGGGGTCTCACTAAGTTGCTCAGTTGCCTAAGCTGGGTTGGGATCTGTGAGCCTCTTGCCCCAGCTTCCCAGAGTGCTGGGATCACAGGAGTGTGCTACTATTCTCAGCTCAGATGAGGTCTTATAAACGCTCCTTTCTGCAACATCAAGTTGGCAACCTGAAGACCTCAGTCCCGTGTCCCTGGCCCATGGCAGGCACCCAGGAGATGGAAGCATAGAGGGGTTGCTGGGAGCACCTGACCCAGGACCAGCAGTGCGGGGAGGCCAGCTGTGCCTGCACCACTCAGAGCCGCTCACGGGCTAAGCCGGGGAGGCCCAGGCTGCACGGGACCCGCAGCCCGCAGGGCTCCCGGGTGGGTGGTGGGAGGCAGCTCGCTGCTATCAGTGCAGCACCCAGCCAGTGAGGGCTTTCAACCAGGTCTGCTCCCACTCCGCCCCTGCCTGCTGGGCTCACAGGAGGGCCTAGCAGGTCTCTCCAGGGACACAGCCACACCTGGCAGTCCCACTGAAACCTTCACCTTGGCTGAGTCCATCACCCTCTGCTCCTCCACTTTACGGAAACTGCTCTTGGGCATCTGCCCCATCCTGCAGGGCTTCATCAATGGAGGCCCCAGCTGCACCGCTTCAAATCCAGGGGAGCCTTTCATGCTGCACCCAGGCTCCTGCCCTCCTGACTTTTGATCTTGCAGTGCTAGGAGGCTTCTTACAGCAAAATCAACTTTTCCTCTCATGATCTGAAGCTGGGTTGGCATTTCTGGGCTTGTGTTAGTGTACATCCCAGGATGTTTTTGCTGGTCTTTGTTGGGGCTGTTTTCCTGAACCTGAAAAGGTACTGTGACGCCTGCCACGTTGTCACTGTAAGCCAAGGCCGGGCTTCTCCAAAGGACGCCACGTAGCCAGGCGCTAAGGTGAAGGCAAGCCAAGACAGCTGATCCACAAGGCACTGGCCTCAGCCATCACAATGGCCTGCCCTGTTGCCATCCCCAGCCCTGGAAGGGGCTTCCAGTCCGGTTTAGAGCACGAGGCAAACACCTTGACCTAAGGGCCTGGACGGGTCCAGCTGTACGAACCGGACTGCGCAACGCCCCTCAAGTTGGCCGCTCCGCGGTCCTTTAGAGAACCATCCCTGGTCCCAGCGACCCAACTCCAAGGGAGCTATTTTCTAGCAATACTCTAGCCACCTCAACTCTTTAAATGGTGCTTACCAAGCGTGATGGCTCACGCCTGTAATCTCAGCACTCTCATTGCGAATTCAAGACCAGCCTGGGCTACAAAGTGAGCTCAAGGCCAGCCTGAATTGCATAGCGAGACCCTGTCTCAATAAATAAATAAATAAGTAAAGCTTCCCATCAGCCAGGACACCTACAAGCCGGCTGGCAGCTGCACCTGCCAATCACTCACACTGCAGCCTCTGCTCCAGGTGAGGCTGTGAACCGTCAGAAACCTCCCTGCCACTGTCGCCAATAGCTTCCGCAGCTTCACCTTCCTTGGCATTCCAACTGCATGTAGCGCGATTAGCAATTAATATTTCACATTCTGTAATTAGCACTGCGTAATGGGGCTCGGAAAAGTTCCTTGACATTTTCATAACCGCACATTTCCCGCCCACTCCTCAAGGCGCAGTCTGTCAAAAGAAAAAAATCGGTCTTTCTGGTGCTGAACGGGCATGTGCGGGCCTCTTCCTAGCGGCTGCCGGTAAACTTAGGAACTCGTTTACAAAAAAACTTTCTTATTCCACAGCCGCCCGCTCGGGGAAATAAAAGTCCTCGTCGCGCCCCGACCAACCACGCAATTTGTTCAGGTCACAGAGGAGCCCGGTCCGAGGCCGGCGCGGGATACGTTCTGCCCGCGGCCCGCTTCTGCAGCCCGGCCAACGCGTGCCAGCGCCCGACGCAACGTCACCACGCTTCCTCTGCAGCCACCCGCAGCCCCTCGCCGGGTCACAACGGCTGCTCTCCACGCCTCGGATCCCAGCTAGGGAGCAGAACCCGGTGTGCGACCGCCGGAGGTGGGCACTGCGGCCCCTTCCGACGTCGCGATACGCTCCGGAACCCGGCCGCCGGGGGCCCCCACGTGGCCCCACGCGCGGTCCGCACTACCCTGCTGCCGCCGACAGACGGCACGCCCCAGCCAATCGACGCCTCGCTGCCGTCCGGTGGCCAATGAGCGTCCGGAAAAGCCGCGCCGCCGAGTCGACGCAAGCGCGCTCCCTGGCCGCTATTGGAGAGCCGAGGCTCCGCCCCTCCTTCATGTCCCGCCCCGCCGGCCTAGTTAGGTTGCGGCGCGGGCGGCTGGCGGAGCAGGTCCCGTTGTGCTGCGGCTCCGCGCGGCCTGCAGTCCCGGGTCTGCACCCCGCGCCGCCCGCCCGCCCGCCCGCCATGGAGTCCGGTCTCGACGGCCCCACTGCGCCCGGTCCCGCCGCCATCCGCGAGGGCTGGTTCCGCGAGACATGCAGCCTGTGGCCCGGCCAGGCCCTGTCGCTGCAGGTGGAGCAGCTGCTCCACCACCAGCGCTCTCGGTACCAGGACATCCTCGTCTTCCGCAGGTACCGCCCGGCCCGCGCCCCCTGACCCCGCGGGCCGCGCCCTCCCCGGCTGGACCCCGCACGCCGCTCTCCGCACGCTTCCGCGGCACAGCTGTCACCGGTTCCCGCGAACCAGGCCCGGCAAACATTGGGGCCGAGCCGCCTGCACCCCGCGCCGTGGGCTGGGCCGCAGTGTGCGCCGCGCTCCACGTGTCAGTCCTGGACACGTCAGCCGGAGACCCCGGGCCCCACCCCGGTTCCCGCCACGTGTCACCCCGTCTCCCCATCCCGGGCGGGGCACGGTGTGTCCCCCCCACTCCGAAGGACCCAGGTCCCCTACTGTCACTCCGCAGCAAGACCTACGGCAACGTGCTGGTGCTAGATGGCGTCATCCAGTGCACGGAGCGGGACGAGTTCTCCTACCAAGAGATGATCGCCAACCTGCCGCTGTGCAGCCACCCCAATCCCCGCAAGGTACCGCGCACCCGCCAGGCTCAGCCAGGTGACTGCCAGAGCTGGCAGGGACTTGGGGCGAGGGTCGACCCTGGCGGAGCCGTCCCAACCAGGGGAGGCCTGACAGCCTCTCCTCGGCCAGGCCGGAAGCCCAGCAGCCCGGGGAGGGGCTCCCAGGAAGAGGGAACCCAGGCTAGGTCTTTACTCTGAGAGACGAGAACGAAGTAAGCAGGCCGGAAGCTGGGGATGGGAGACAGCATCGCCCCAGGTGGCTCCTAGGGAGGGATCTGCTCGCGGCAGGCAGGACCTGCACCTGACTGTCCCCACCTCAGGTGCTGATCATCGGCGGTGGAGACGGGGGTGTCTTGCGTGAGGTGGTGAAGCACCCCTCGGTGGAGTCTGTGGTCCAGTGCGAAATTGATGAGGTGAGTGCCAGGCCTGTGGCCCTGCTGCCAAGGGCTGGGCACAGCCCAGCCCAGCCCTGCCCTGCCCTGCCCTGCCCTATCCTGCCCTGTCCTGCCTGTCCCGTGCACCTGAGGCAAGCTGCTTGACTCTCCTGGGTGTCTGTCTGCTCATCTGAAAAACCAGTGCTGAAGCCCAGTGAGGTGGTACAGGCCTATAATCTCAGCACTCTGGGAGGCTGAGGCAGGAAGATCAAAAATTCAAGCCCAGTCTGGTTTTATTAAGGTATTACCTGAAAACTTAAAAAAAGGGGGGGATAGAGGAGTGGCCAGGGAGGTGTACAAAGGCTCTGGGTGCAGTCTGCAGTTTTCCAAAGAAAAAACAGCGTTGGGAGAGTCCAGCAGGACAGCAGGATGGTGGAAGGCCCAGCATGCATGTAATGCAGGTGGGCACTGGTCCTGGTAAGAAAAAGCGACTAGCTTTAAGCTCCAGGGAGGGTTTAGGGACATTTCCAACTGCTAAAATATCTACCTTTACACTAAGATAGTTTTCTCCCCAGTAAGTGGGAGTTAAGGCCCAAGGATGCAGTTCAGGGGGAAGCCCTGAGTTTACTTTTTGAGACAAGATCTCACCAAATCACTTAGTTATCTGGGCTGAGCTCAAACTTGTGCTGCTGCCTCATCCTCCAAGGGACCTGGAATTGCAGGCGTTGGCCCCACACCTATCTCACCTAAGCATTTTTAGGGCGTGTTTACTGTGGCAGGTGTTGGTCAAGGGACTGGGGGTTACGGGGGCAGACAGATCCATCTGCCCTTGGAGGAGATGATCCAAATTTGAGGACATAATCACAAGGTGACTCAGGAAGGCTTGAGAGGAGCAGCAGACTTTCAAGGACGAGGCAGGCGGCACAGGACGCAGACTGCTCGCCTGTCCTGCGCAAGGCCCTGGCTTCCATTCCCGCCACCCCGGGAAGAGTGGAGGGAAGGGGCACAGGCCCCAGGAGAGACCCTGACCCTCATGGTCCAGCCTCGTCCTCCGTGCCCTCCCCAGGACGTCATCCAAGTCTCTAAGAAGTTCCTGCCAAGCATGGCCGTCGGCTACTCCAGCCCGAAGCTGACCTTGCATGTGGGCGACGGCTTCGAGTTCATGAAACAGAACCGGGACGCCTTCGACATCATCATCACGGACTCCTCGGACCCCGTGGGTGAGCGGGGGCTGCCTGCCTCCCTGGGCCTGCTCTCCGGGGCAGAGGAAGGGGGCCCCCAACCCAGAGCTGCGCCCCCGCCTCCAGCAAGACTCGGGACAGAAGGGTCCATACCAGGCCACAGCCCCGAGTCCACAGATGGGAGTGTGGTGTGGTGGTGGACACCTGTGTCCCTCTGCTCGGGAGGCTGAGGCAGGCATGTCGCTGTGAGTTGGAGGCCAGTCTGGGCTACAGAACTAGACCCTGTCTCAAAAACAGCAGAGGGGAAAAAGAAAATCAGCGTGGGTGCCCAGGAGCATGGTGCGGTCGTGGCCTTTGGAGCCTGTTTGCCTTCTCTCCCTGTGTGCTCTGCTCCCACCAGCCAGCATGGGCATGCAGCGGGGTGGGGTGGGGATGGCCGGGGCTTGGCAGCCGTGTGTCCGTGTAGGGGCGATGCTGGTCCCTGAGGTCCCCGCCGGGACGCGTTCATCATCCCCTCCCTGCAGGCCCTGCCGAGAGCCTCTTCAAGGAGTCCTATTACCAGCTCATGAAGACGGCGCTGAAGGAGGACGGCGTCCTCTGCTGCCAGGGTGAGCACCGGGCGGGCGGGCGGGCGGGCAGGTGACCGGCCCGAAGCTGAGGCTCATGTGCTGCCACCGCCCGCCCGCCCGCCCCCAGGTGAGTGCCAGTGGCTGCACCTGGACCTCATCAAGTCGATGCGGCAGTTCTGCCGGTCCTTGTTCCCCGTGGTGAGCTACGCCTACTGCACCATCCCCACCTACCCCAGCGGCCAGATCGGCTTCATGCTGTGCAGCAAGAACCCGGTGAGCTGGGTGCTGCCAGGGGGCAGGGCACGGCGGGCACGGACGGCCCTGCCTGATGCCACCCCGTCCCGGGTCCCCAGAACACCAACTTCCGGGAGCCCGTCCAGCAGCTGACGCAGGCGCAGGTGGAGCAGCGGCAGCTGAGGTACTACAACGCCGAGGTGCACCGCGCCGCCTTCGTGCTGCCCGAGTTCGCCCGCAAGGTGTGTGGCGGCCCCGGGGCTCCCCTGCCAGCTCGGCCCCCAGGGGCCGGAGCGTCCTCCTCACCGCCCTCCTGTCCCGCCAGGCCCTGAACGATGCAAGCTGAGCCCTGGTGCCGCACCGTGCCACTGTCCGAGACCTCGGGCTGGACCGGGGAGCCTCAGGGGATGGCGGGCCCCCAGCCAGGACCGACCCCTTCAGCTCTCACCGCCGGCCGTGTGTGACAGGCCCCAGGATGCCGCCTGCCAGCCCTGCTGGGCGGCTCTGCGTGTGCCCCACACCCAACCGTACCAGCTCTGTACAGCACCGTCTGCCCCTCACCCCTCAGCAAACACGTATTTATAACAAAGCTCACCATCGTGTCCTCTGGCCTTCGCTGGTCCCAGCAGGAGCCACCTGAGCCATCACCAGGGTGTAGGGTGTGAGGGTCTGCATGGCCCCCCCTCCTGCCCCACTGGGCCAGCCCTGGACCTTGGGCCCAGAGGGACACAGCAGTCACCTTAATCTGTCCTGAGAACCAAGTGGCCACTCACCCCTGGTGCCCTCAGGCCAGGGCAGTGTTGCAGGGCCCATTGAGGCTGAGAAGTGAGCCCTTACACAGCATCCGGGGGGCCATGGTGTGGCCAGAGCCCTGTCCCTGGGGCCTGCTGGAGTGTGGCTGGAGCTTGGGAGGCAGTGGGCTCTGCTGAGTCCAGACAGAGGCACGCACGCACGCGCATCATGTCCCCTGGAGTTGCTGAGAGCTCAGGCCTGCAGCCAGCTCTGTGCTCCGGGCTCAGGGCTGTTCCCTCTCCAAGGTGCTGAACCTGCAGCCTCACCACTCCAGGTGTCTCCCAGGTGTCTCCCGCCCTGTCCCTGGACCTTGCACACTGGCTCAGTGTTGTACCCTGGCCCAGCGCAGATGGGAGGGAAGGGCTCCAGCTACGCCTGGCTCAGGACCACAGGAAGCCCCTCGAACTCTCAGACTTGGGCTGGTTCTGGGCCTCCAGGAGCAGTGAGAGGGGAGGCCAGGTGCAGCTGCTGGCCCTCTGCTCATTGCTGCCCAGGTACCTCAGCCCTTTGTCCCTGGCCACAGGGACAAAGAGCTCGGCCAGTCCCTCTGAGGGCAGCCTTGGCAGTAGGTGGCAGGCTGGGATCTGCACTTCAGCAGGTCCTAAAGCTGCCTGGCTGCAGGGCCTGGCCCCTGCGCACAGGGAGTCTCGGGATGCCCCTTGTCTCAGTCCAACAGTGCCATGTGCTGCAGGTGTGAACCTTGGTTCCGTCTCCCCAGCCACTGAGGAAGGTGCTGTTATCACCGTGTAGGTGATGCCTGCCTGCCCAGCCATGCAACCCTTCTGAGGCTGCCCTTCTAGGGTCCCCACCCCGGGGCTGCCACGGCTCCCAGTCCTGGCATCACCCTGGGCACAGCCAGCAGAAGGGTGCACAGTGGGTTCCCAGTCAGGGGTCACCTCAGAAGGTAGAGGCAGCCTGGGGGCCTTGGGCTGGCTCTGCCCCCCACTCACTCTGACCTGGGCCACTCGGCTCTGCCCAGCAGCCCATCTTCCAGGCAGGAACAGTGAGCCTTCCCAGAAAGCTTTGGCTAGAGACATGGCAAGGTCATCGTGGGAGCGTGGTCCTGGGCCCCTGTCCTGATGGCCATGGTGCAGATGTGACCTGGTCCACTGACACAGAAGCAGCTTTGTGCGTGGGAGTGTGTGCGCACCATAGCAAAACTCGGGGCTTCTGCACAGCTCTGTCCAGCCCTGCTGCATTTCCACCTCAAGGTGGCGTCTTGGTAAATCCCCAGGCTGAGCCAGCTGGGCATCCTAGCACTCCGGGATGCTGAGGCAGGAGCATCATTGCAAGCTGGCTACGAAGTGAGCTTAAGGCCACCCTGAACTGCTGGCCTTGAAATGTCTATCCTCAAGAAAAAAAAGGCTGGGGGCTTAGCTCAGTGGCATAAGCACCTGCGTGGTAAGTGTGCAGGTGTGAGTTCCGTCCCCAGCACACAAAAAATACCCATCCTTTGCCTCACCTTGCTGAGTACTTTTGCACAGAGATCTCCGGCCCGGCCGCTGAGGCTCAGCCTCTGCATCCTGTGCCTGTCCTGTGCCCTTCTCTGCCCGTAAACATGTTTCCCAGGGTCCCGTGAGCTGTCCTAGCGAGCGCTCAGGCCCCAGGAGGGGACAGGAAGTCCTGGTTTGCAGCCTGTGGGAGGGAGCTGACTCTGCAATCCCAGTTCCTTGGGAGGCTGAGGCAGCAGGAGGATCACAAGCTCAAACCCAGCCTGAGTATTCGCCGACACTGTCAGAATGTTGAGAAGCTCTGGGAACTGCTCAGTGCAGAGGCCCCAGGTTCAACACCACCGCCACCACCCTGGCAAAAATGAGCGGAGGGGGCATTGTGGCGCTTGCCTCTCAGCCACATGACTCGGGCCAGCTGTGGAGTCTGACCTGCCTCCCGGGCAGAGGGTTCAGGATTTGGTCGGCAGTTGCTCTGCTGGTGTCTGCCCGCTCCAGCCACCTGCGCTGAGGTCACACATCCTGAGGGGCTGCATCTGTCCCTATTGTGCCCTTTCTGCCAGAAAGTGAGGGTTTAGCTCCACCCCCATCCTGCACCCCTCGCCCACCCGTGAGCAAGTCCGGCTCTGCTGGTGACTTGGTTCACACTGTCATGCTGCATGGCCACGGCCACTTGTGTCCGCTGCCCAGCGGCCGCCTTCCAGGATTCAGTCCTGGCTTGGAGTGTTCGTCGTTTCATCTTCCTAGCTTTCAATAAATTAATCACAGATTATACCCGAACTCTTCACCAGCTCTCTGAAGCCTATTTTATTTAACTTTACTATTTTGAGGCAGGATGTCACTGCAGCCCAGGGTGGCCTCCAACTCTGAGCCTCCCGCCTCAGTCTCCTGAGCGCTGGGATCACAGGCTTCACCTGGCCTGATGCTTCTCCGTGAACCTCTGCTCAGCAAGCGGGTGACCTGTCCAGGACGCTGTGCTGCCCGGCTGAGCGGGAGCCAGGTCTTCCCTTCTTGCTTCCCTTCTCTGGGTGTAGTGAGGACCACAACAGCTGCTCTAAGACAGGGAGGTAGCTTTTGTGTGTTTAATTTTCTGGAGTGGGGCAGCCTCGCTGTGCAGTTTACCCTGCCACAGGACCTCTCCATGATGTAAGGGACACAGTGGGGCTCCTAACCTGCTACGTGTCCCAGACACCAAATCTGTGTTCCCCATGATTGAAAAATGAACCGTAAGGAACAGCGGTGGTCCAGACAGGAAACTTTATAGAGAAAGACCCTGAGAGACGGGAGGGAATCCAGTGGTTGCCATGGTCCCCACTTAGAAGTTCTACAGAGCAAAACCACAAGGTGGGTACAAAATCACGAGTGGGTACAAGGCAGGGCAAAGCTGTGACCAGCCAGTAAGACCAGCAGTGCTTAGGTCATGTTGCAAGTGTGCAGAGAAAGAACCAGGACCGTTTTTGGAAGAGATGTGCCAGGAGGTCCTGGTCACGCAACCTGGGTGACTGATGTCCGGCTAGATTTATTAGGCCAGCTGATGACAATTGCAGTATATTGCCTGTCCCTGAGGAGGCAGGGAGGCCTGGTCGTCCCGCCCTGGTCTTGAGGCCTGGCCCTCAATAGCTGAGCCTCCAGCCATCGTTGCAATGTGCTGTGTTCTCATCTTCTGCACTGACTCCCTTGAGGGCCCACCCCTGTCTGACTGCCTGTAATATCTTTTCCTAATTTAGCTGTCTTTAACAACCACACCTAGCAAAAGTAAGGTTTCTAAAATCTGTCATGTGTGCCAGGCATGGTGGTGCATGCCTATAATCCCGGGACTCAGGAAGCTGAGGCAGGAGGGTCCCCAAGAATTCTAGGCCAGCTGGGCTCCGTAGCAAGACCCTGTCTCAAAACCAAAGAAGGGTTCTTACACACGATTGCCTAACAGCGACTGTCACAAACCCTCTGCCAAAACCACAAGTCGAATATGGGGCCACCGCAAGTTTACACAGAAAGCACTCAGCGCAGGATATCCGGCCAGAAGCCAACTCTCCAGCTCACGCTGACGCCATGCTTATTAATCACTGTGGCCGGGGATTGCTGTTTCCGAGGATCTGACGTAACTGTCCTCACTATTGTCTCTAAAACTTCCACTTGTCAGGCTTCCTCAGAGGCATCCAGTGTTTGCTGGACCAACCCTTGAACACGCTCTGATTTTTTCCCAGTGCTGGGGATGGAACCCAGGCCCTCGGGTGTGCAAGTTGGGCGCTCGCCACTGAGCCGCACTGCCACCCCTGAAGGCCTGTCTTTATTTAGGTTCACGTGTCCTTTTCTCTTGTTATCTGTCTTCTGGAAAATTTCTTCAGTTGTACCTCTCAAACATTTTTTAGACTTCATGTTTAACATATTCAGTTTTTGAGACTTTTTTGCTGTTCTCTAAGTGCTTCCCCACCCCCACCCCCACCCCCGTCAAGGTCTTGGTATGAGTTTGAACTTGTGATCTCCCTGCCTCAGCCTCCCAAAGTGCTGAGAGACAGGAGAGCATCAAAATCCTCAGTTTGAATAGTTTTTTTTTTTTTTTTTTTTTGTCTGTTTTGTTTTTATCGGTACCAGGGATCGAACTCACGACTGCCTGCTTGCAAGGCAGGTGCTTATACCGGTGAGCTAAATCCCTCAGCAGCATAAGCTGCCTGCCTTGCAAGCAGGCAGTCATGAGTTCGATCCCCGGTACCGATAAAAACGAAAAAGACAAAAATAATAATAATAATAATAATAATATCCTGGCCAGGCGTGGTGGCTCACACCTGTAATCCCAGCACTTGGGAGGCTGAGACAGGAGGATCATTACAAGTTCAAGACCAGCCTGGGCTACAAAGTGAGTTCAAGGCCAGCCTGTACTGCAAAAGCAAAACTATGTCTCAAAAAGACAATAAATAATAATAATAATAATAATACCCTGCTCTTCTTGTTTTTGTGCTAAGGATTACACCCAGGGCTTTATGCAAGCTCTCTATTACTACACTGCATCCCAAACCCCTTTAAATGCTGTTTATTTATTGTAGTTTTTTGAAATAGGATCTGGCTGGCTATATAGTGCAGGCTGCCTTCAAACTCATGGCAATCCTCCTGCCTCAGCCTCCTGAGTGCTGGGATTACAGAAAAAAATGTCTTTTGAGGCTGGACTCAGGGTGCATTGCTGCAGTCCCAACACTGTGGGAGGCCGATGCAGGAGGGTAACAAGTTTAAACCCAACCCAGGCAATGCAGTGACTTAGTGATACCTTGTCTCAAAAATCAGTCAAGCTGGGTGTGGTGCCACCTGCCCATAATCCCACTTGGGAGATTGAAGTGAAGGAACTGCATGCGTTTGTGGCCAACCTGGACTACCTAGTGAGTTCAAAGCCTGCCTGAACTCCATAGCAAGACCCTGTCTCAAAAAAAAAGTATAATCAGGGTGGGGATTTGGCCAGCACCTGCCTGGCAAGCGCACGGGTCATGAGTTCAATCCCTAGCGCCAAAAGGAACAAATCAGTCAATCAATCAATAAAAGGGTTTGTGGTCAGGAATTTAGCTCAGTGGCACAGTGCCTGCCTGGTACCTGCCTGTGAGGTCCTGAGTTCAATACCCAGGGCCAAAAGAATGGTTTGGGATGAGGCTCAGTGCAAAGCTCTGGGTTCAAACCCCAGCAACTTACCCTCCCCCCAATGTTTTTTGACACAGAGTTGCTCCCTTCTGCAGGTTGAACTCAGACCTGGGACGCTCTGCCTGCCTCAGCCTCCAGGGCAGAGCGCTCTTGGGGGTGGAGGCAGTGCCCGGCTCTGCACCACACTTTCCTCGGAAGGCATGAGTGACTTTTCAGTTTGACTTTGGACACTCTCTCGGGAGAAAGGGGCTGCTGGGGCCGGAACCCAAGGCCTTGGATGCGCCAGGCAGTGTGTTACGCAGCGTGATGACTTAGTGAAGCCCAGAGGTGGCTCAGTATGAGGCCCTGGATTCAGCCAGCACCCAAAACTGAGCTAAAGCCGCAGAGCTGGCGGGTGGGTGCCAGGAGCCGGGCAGGGAGGCAGCTGGGCTCTCAGCAACGCCCCTGTCCCCAGCAGGGCCTGGGAGCCTCTGTTTTATGTTTTATATAAGACATCTCCAAGGAAGACATCTCCAAGCTGCAGGAAGGAGGGGTGGTCTGTTCCTTAACCACTTCCAGAAGGACCTAGTGCCACCAGTGCCTGGTTCCCTTCCAGGAAGGGAAGGGAACTGCTGGCCAGGGGATCGTTATTCCCACCTACCCATCCGTCCTTCCCATCCATCCCAGCATTCGGGAGGCTGAGGCAGGAGGATCACCTCAACTTCAAGACCAGCCTGGACTACATAGCAAGATCCTCTCTCCAGGCAACGGACAGTCGCTCTCGCTGCCGTCCATCCTCACAGCCGCCTGCGTTCTCTTCCTAGGCCCTGGGGAGTTGGGGTGATGGAGAGGAGACCCCGACTGGTACTGGCTACATCTCCGCCAGGAGCCCTTGCTGTCCACCTCACCGAGGGACCCAGCTCCCTCTGACCTCGCAGGCCACTTTAGGGGAGGAAGCTCGAAGAGCAGGGCAGCACAGGCACATCCAGGCGCGTCCCCAGACTGTCCCCACGCTGCTGCCACTCCTGGTCCTGGAGTGACCTGGCCCTGCCCGGAAGTGGGCCAGGAGGAAGTCACGGGGTCCGTTCCCAGAACCAGGGGGCAGGGCCAGGGCTGGACAAACAGAGCAAAGGTGAGGAGCCACTTCAGAGTCACAAGGCCCTCTGGACGGCTCGCCATGGGGCAGGTGGCAGCGCCCACCGTGTCACCCCTCGGGCTGCTCGTCCCCCTGGGGCTGCTGTGGGGCTCGGCAGCGGCTGCCTCCATGGGCCCCAAGTGGCCTGAGCCCCTGTTTGGGCGCCTGGCGTCCCCTGGCTTCCCGGGTGAGTACGCAGACCACCAGGAGCGCCACTGGGCCCTGGCCGCGCCCCCCGGCTACCGCCTGCGCCTCTACTTTACCCACTTCGATCTGGAGCTGTCCTACCTGTGCGAGTACGACTACGTCCAGGTGCCACCTCTGCCGGACTCTAGGGGCCGGGGAGGGGTGGGGGGTCCTCCCAATCCTCCTGGGCTGGGGACATCCCATCCGGACGGGCCTGGGCCCTGCCTTCCCCCCGTGACCTCCGACCCCACAGCTGAGCTCGGGGACCAAGGTGCTGGCCACACTGTGTGGGCACCAGAGCACGGACACCGAGCGGGCACCCGGCAATGACACCTTCTACTCACCGGGCCCCAGCCTGGACATCACCTTCCGCTCCGACTACTCCAACGAGAAGCCGTTCAAGGGCTTCGAAGCCTTCTATGCAGCCGAAGGTGAGCCGCACCGTCTGCAGCTGGGTGGCTCCCTGGCCACCACATGCTCGGTCCCCCACCTCTGGAGATTCAGGCCTAAGGCCACGGCCCGGCACCATGGGACAAGGCGAGGTCCCCAGCCTGAGCTCTGCCCAGGCCTGACCGGGGCAGCAGGCTCTCTTTCTGTTGCTTATCCTGCTCTGCAAAGTCCTGCTCTGCAGCCCTGGAGAGCCTCAGTTCAAGACCCTCCTGCCTCAGCCTCCCGAGTGGTGGGCTAAGAGCCACGCAGCACCTTGCTCGGCTCCTTCACCGGCTGGTGGTTTCAGGAAGGGCAGTCGGTCTCTCATTGGTTTAAAAAAGGTGCTTGTACCAGGTGTGGCGGTGCACGCCTGTAATTCCAGCACGCAGGAGGCTGCGGCAGGAGGATTTTAAATTCTAGGCCGGTGTTCCCTACACAGGGAGACCATGCCTAAAAAACAAAGGCAAACAGAGGAGTGCTTCTGTCTCTGGATCCCAGGACCAGGGGGCTCGGCCCAGCACCACTGAGACCATAGGGCCCCAGAGTCCCAGGCCAGGCCAGCTTCTGTCCAGCCCCTTCCTCCTGACTCCCTGCCCACTTCTCTCCCAGACATCGACGAATGCCAGGTGTCCCCAGAGGAGTCACCGCCCTGCGACCACTACTGTCACAACTACCTGGGTGGCTTCTACTGCTCCTGCCGGGCAGGCTACGTCCTACACCAGAATAAGCGCACCTGCTCAGGTGAGGGGGACCCACCTGCCCCCACCCAGGGAACACAGGGGGAGGCTGTGCTCGGAGCCACCTGCCCCGGCCTCAGGACACTGGCCCCTCACTGCAGCCCCACCAGGCGCCTGGACTGCCCGTGTCCCAGGGAACTGGCCCTGACCTGTGTCCCTGCTTGGTGTCCCCTGACCCCTATCTCTTCCAGAGCAGAGCCCCTGATCTGCCTGACTCCAGCTTGCCCTGGCCCAAGGGTCAGAAGCCAGGGCCACCGCGGGCTGCAACTGAGTCAGGAGAGACCCTGGCTGCCCATGGGGTCCCCCCACTGTCCTGCCTCCACCCACCAATAAACCTGGCCCGGCACCACGCCTGTTGTCTCTATGGGAGGTCGGGGAAGACTCAGAGGACCCCAGCTCCTTCTCTCAGCAGCCTGAGGGTCCCCCGCCCCCCTTGAGATGGGGCTCACATGGGACCTAGTGCTCCTGCGCCCTGCTGGTCCCCAAAGACTGAGCTCTGCGCACTCTTGGAGCAGCTCGGTTCAGAGCTGGCTGGGGCCGAGAGACCTGGCAGGTGTCACCCTGATGGACTCTGGGCTCCCCACTGCACAGGGGCCACTCCCTGGGCACCGCAGGACCTCGCAGCCTGCAGGCCTCGGCTGCCACACTCACCCCCTCACCTTGCGGGTGGAACCCAGCTTCCTACTGCTGTGCCAAGCCCATCCCCAGGAAGAGCCCCAGAGGCCCTGGTAGACAGCACCCCAGGAACCCAAGGACACCCCTTATCCATGCAGCAACAGGAATCACTGGGGCGGGCTGGAGCAGAAAGGACCCTGGGCCCCAGGAGCCACCTCCTCCCTTTCCCAAACCCCCGGGGGTCATGGGGACCCTGCTCCTCCTCCTGTGTGAGTTCACCTGGCAGGCCCTCCCTCCCACCTCCCTTCACCTCTGGACTGCCACAGACGCAGGGTGTCCCTGTCCTCCACTCTGCTGGTGGCAGAGACCCTGGGGAGCTATTTTTTTTTCCTTTATTGTGACGCTGAGAATCAAGCCCCAGCCTTGTGCATGTAAAGCATGAGCTCCACCTCTGAGCTGTGTCCCCGGCCAGAAACCTTTATGTCCAGCGCCTCCCTCCCTTTAGCCAAAGCCCCCAAGCAAGAGGACCCGACCCTCTCAGTCCCTCAGCCCTTGGTGGGCAGTGGGGCTGTATCAAAGGCTCGGGGGCTGACTGCATGGCAGGTCAGGACACAGGTACCCCCAGGATGTCCTGCCCACAAGCCCCGGTCCCCAGCAGCAGCCCCCTGCTGCTTACAGAGAAGGTGACAGGTGGGAGTGAGCCCCACCATCCTGTCCTCCTCCCGCCAGCCCTGTGCTCGGACCAGGTCTTCACTGCGCGGTCGGGGGAGTTCAGCAGCCCCGAATACCCAGGACCCTACCCCAAGCTCTCCAGCTGCACTTACCACATCCGCCTGGAGGAGGGGTTCAGTGTCGTCCTGGACTTCGTGGGACCCTTCGATGTAGAGTGGCACCCCGAAACCCAGTGTCCCTATGACTCCCTCCAGGTATGGCGCTGGCTCTGTCCTCTCGTCTCGCAGCACCCTACGGGGCCCCTCAGCCTCTCTGCGAGGTCCCCACCAGGTTCCACATGGAGACAGGGGCCGCCGAGGGGCTCCCTCTCACCCAGCCCGGGCCTGGCAGCGCGTGCTAGAGCTTTGGGCCCTCGGGGTTCAGATCCAAACAGGCACAGGGAAGTCTGGCCCACTGTGTGGGGAGACGGCACCCCGCAGGATCGAAACAAAGAGCAACACGGTGAATGTCACTTTTGTCACGGATGACTCAGGGGACAACACAGGCTGGAAGATCCACTACACTAGCACAGGTGAGCACAGACGCGGGAAGGAGCCTCTGCCTCTCCCGCAGTGCCCAGGAGATGGAGACATCCATCCACCACCACCCACCGGTCCACGCACCCCTTCTCCGTCAGCTCATCCCTCCACCCATCCGTCCATCCGTCCATCCATCCATCCACCGCCCATCTTCCCTTCCCATGGAGGCGTAACAGGGATGTGAAACACTGAAGCCACCGTCCCCACGGCCTGTGCCCCCAGTCCAGCGGGGGGGGGGAGTTACCACACCACAGCCACCTCTGTGGCAAGCACAGCCTGTGGGGAGCTGGTGCCCCGAAGCTGGATCTAGAGGACGAGCAGGTGTGGAGCAGGGAAGGGTGTTCCAGACTGAGGGAAGAGCCCTGCATGAGCTCAGAGGCGTCACTGTTCGGGGAGTCCAGGTGCAGGGGGCTGGTACAGCAGGTCAGGGGCTCTGTGTGGGACTCACAAATTCCCTCTCAGGCTGCTCCCCACCCTGGCCTTGGTTCCGTCCTCTGGGGCCCCCACAAAACTCCCACCAAGGCTGTGCCTGCAAGTTGCTTCCCCACCCCAGGGGAGAAAGATGTGGGGTGACTCACGGGAAGGGGCCAGAGCAGAAGTGTCTCCCCAGAGGCCTGCACACTGTGGGGGCGCTGGTGAGGGGAAGCTGCAGGCTCCCAGGGTCTGTCTGGATCTTCAGTTTCCTGCGTCTGGACCTGGGCATCTCCCTGTGCCACGCGGTGTCCGGCAAGGCGCTGGGAAGCGTCACTGCCGTCCCTCACTCCGTCCTCAGCCCAGCACGGCCTGGGGCTTCTTTTTCTCATGCTGGGGATCGAACCCAGGGCCTCGAGCTCTGCCACTCAGCCACGCAGCTACGCCCTCTGACTGCAAGACCTGTGCCTCTCCCGCGTCTCCCTCTTTCCCTTGAAGCCTCGCTCTGGCTTTCAGGCCTTGTACCTTCCAGCAAACCTGCCTTTTGCAGCTGCCCGCATCTGAGTCCCAGCCGAAGCAGCTGAGGTTAACCTGCCTTCCGGGTTAGCAACGCCACTGCACTTGTGCAAGGGTCTCTTCTCCTAGTGTTTCATTCACAAACCAAGAACTTCAGATTTGCCAGCCCAGCCCTGGCTGCCCCGGGCTACGTCCAAACCAAAAGGCCTGCTTTGCTCTCCGCAGCGCAGCCGTGTCCCAACCCGATGGCGCCACCTAACGGCCGCATTTCGCCCGTGCAAGACGAGTACGTCTTCCGGGACAGCTTCTCCGTGGTCTGCGAGGTCGGCTACGAGCTTCTACACGTGAGTGACCACGGAACAAATGGCGCAGAGTCGTGTTCCTGTGCAGAGTTTCTGCTGGACGGGGTGGGGGGAGGCACGGTGCTTCTCGCCAGACTTTCAATGGTAAAAAGCAAAGAAATAAGGAAAGATCGGTTCTGTTTTAAAAAAATTGTAAAGCAAGACTCTGATGCTGGTTCCAGAGCCCAGGACCTCGGTGCACTAGTGTAGGCATGCTCGGTACCAGCGCGCTCCAGCGCAGGCCCCGGGCCCTTTTTATTTCTTGTCGTCGTGTTGTAGAAGTCGGTATGATTAAAACGGGCAACTTTTCCGTCTGTTCACGCGTTCCAGCAGCTGAAACAGAAAGGCAGGTTCCAGCACAGTACCCTCTTCAGCGAGCTTGGAGAGCACCTTGGGTTCAATTACAGGCCTCCCCCTGGTCACCTGGTGCCCTTCCCCCAAACAGCTCCTGGGCTCACAAAAACTGAGATGGCCTTGGGAAAGAGTGTGTTCTGCAAAGTTATAAATAGTGATCGCTGTTGAGGGAGAGGGAGGATAATTTTAAAAATGCTTAGCACGTTGCTTCGGGGGCACAGGTAAGAGATTAACGTGTCCTCTTTATGTTGTTCAAAATTGTCACTGAATCCCAGAGGTAAAAAGTAATAACATTGAAGTGATAGCTGGCTATGCAGTCCGCAGACCTGTGGAGGGTCAAGAACAGGAAAATAATTTCCCACCTTGCAAACTTTTTGGCCAGGCTCTCGACCGTAACTCCTTCCATTGCAAATGTGCTCAGATTCTCAAGTTAAAAAAAAAAAATCTTGATTCCTTTTAAAGCATAAATCTAATGCCGCCATCATATTCTTTCATTTTTTAATGTTTGAATTTAGAAAAAGAAACACTTTCAGGAAGTGAGAATAGTTTCTCTGTAGCAGGGCATGGCAGTGCATGCATCCAGTCCCAGCACTCTGGGGGGCTGAAACAAGAGGATCTTGAGTTCAAGTCCAGCTTGGGCAAGTCAGTGACTGAGCAAGACCCTGTCTCAAAATAGTAATAATAATAGTACTAAGGTCTTACCACCAGGATCAGAAAAAATTTTCCTATAAATCACTATTAGCAAAAAAACTGATGAAGACATGGGAAATGCTCACGGAGCATTTTTGGTGGCTTCCTCTGGCTCAGGGCCCTGGCCACAGAGAAGCAGGCTGATGCAGCACGGCTTCTACCAAACCTACCCCGCACCCTCTGCACTCTATAAAGAACGAGCGGGGCACAGGCAGGAACCCTGAAACCTGACATGTTCCTGGGTCACGGTGAAAAGCAGCAAAATTGCTGCCAAGAGCAGTTTTGATCCCGAAAGTGCCAGGGCGCTTTGCCAGCTGACCTACGTAACGGGTGGCCCAAACCAGCTGGGCTTCGGGCAGCAAACGGGCCGATATCGCTCTGCACCGGGCTGGCTGGGGCGTGTCCAGGTCCTGGCTTCCTGAGTGCCCGCAGACACAGAGGCTAGTTGGTGGCCGTCACCCTCTTTGGGACCCACGTGTAGCAGTGCCACGGGAAGCGCGGTGGGAGCCCGGTTCTGGAGAGGGACTTGATGGAACGAGTTAACTTTCTGAATCCGTTTAGGGCTCCCGGCCCCTGAAATCCTTTGCTGCGGTCTGCCAAAAGGACGGCTCCTGGGACCGACCAGTGCCGGAGTGCAGCAGTACGGCCGGCCCGCGGTGACCACTCCCTCGCTGCTGCCACCCTGGCGCTTCTGTCGCTGCCTGGCCCCCCTCTGCCCCTGCCCCCAAGCGGCTCCATTTACCAGGGCTGGAAGTCCCATGTGCTCTCTTCCTCCACATCTCAGCGTCCTCGGGGCAGAGTAGAGCCAAGCTCCCCGGGAAAGCAGGAGTGTGCGCTGGAAATCTTTTCCACCCACACAAGTAGTCTCCTTGGAAAAGATGGAAAACAGGGCTTGGTGTGATGGCACGACTCTGATGCCAGCCCTCAGGAGGCTGAGGCAGGAAAATAGCCCTGAGCTCGAGGTCAGAACGAACAGGACCCTGTCTCAAAAAAAAAAAAAAAAAAAAAAGGCAAACATACATTTTAATTGTCACCTCGCCACCCTAGGAGAGTGCAGTCACCACCACTGCTTTGGTGTGTATCCCTCCGTGAGACACTGTGTGTGCGAGCGTGGGCATGTGCCACGTTGCGAGGGTGGCTTGTGCTGAGTGTGTAAGCGCCACACACATACACCTCTGCACGAACCAGGTTAGTGGCAGGAACGACCACGTTGTGAACTAAGGATCGTGTGCATTATTTAAAGAATCAAGCCGGGCCTTGCCGACCTGGTAGACCTTATCTCAAACTTTACAGGACACTTTTTTTTTTTTTAAAAAGGGGCTGCGGGGTAGCTCAGTGGTAAAGCAGCCCGGGGTTCCATCCCTAGTACCACAAGCAAGCGGACGGGTTACACCCTGCTTGCCCGGCCCCACCCCCAGCCGTGGCAGCCTGTGGCTATGCATGCTCGCCTGACTTCATGATGCACAGGCTGTGCAGGGCTTTTCCCTGGCAAGTTCCTAGTGGAATTTTCTTTGCTTAGGCTTTGTAAGTTTTCACTCCGCCGATGAGACTAATTCCTTTAGTCATGGAACAGTAAAGGCTGGTGATGGAGCATGCTGGTAATCCTGGCTACCTGGGAGGCTGAAGCAAGAGGATCCCAAGTTCATTGTCACCCTGGGCAAGTTATTGTCTAAAGATAAAAAGGCCCACTTGTGGATGTAGGTTAGGGCTCCCCGGGCCCAAGTCCCAGCACTAGAAAAGCAAGAGTACAGTGAGTCTCTGACTTTGAACAAGTTCTGTTCCTGGAGAACAGTCGTAAGTCAGCTTGGTTTGTAACCCCGACAGCGAGCGTCTCCCCCACATCGCTGCTGCCGAGTGCACAGCCGCACACTGCTGACAGTGGCCAGCAGACACGTGAGCTATTTCTGCAACTTGTTTGCTTCTATGTGTGTTCGTAACGCGAGGCCCGTTCATCTCTGTGGAAGCTCGCAACTCGGTAACATTCCTGTCAGGGACTTACTGTAAGCAGGAGCGGGCGCCCACACAGTGCAGGACCTGTGACGGGGAACCCCAATTCTCCAGTTTCAGCTGTGCACCTGTGACAGACACCCCTCCTGCATTGTCTGGCAGTTCTGGCAAGAAGGCAGGCTGGGGGAGGCGAGCTCCCCCAGGGCCAGGCACTGCACCGGGTTTCTGAGACCACCTAAGGAAAACCCACAGCAGTCGGGCTTGGTGGTGCACGCTTGCATTCCAGCACTCAGGAGGCTGGGGCAGGAGGCTCGCTGCAATGAACGCAGGGCCAGCTTGGGTTACACAGCAAGATCCCTCTCAAAACCCAGCCAGCCAGCCAGCCCGTGCTTGCCTGTGTTGAAGACCGCTTTCCTGCCAGGAACTATTTCACGCGAGCCGAGTTCCAGTCCAGACCCCTGCTAGGGAGGTGCAATCAACACACTCCCTCTGCTTCGGCTCTCTGAAGGCCCCACTCAGGAAAAGGACTTCAGGAACAGAGTCCTCCAGCCCAGCTCCCGTGGAGCCAGACCTGCTTTCTTCTGCGTGGCGGCTCCACTGCACAGCCTTCGAGGGTTCCCCTTTTCCTATCAGTAGCAAAGAACGGCAGCCTGCAGTGTGTAGCGGCCTGGACCCTTTTAGCTCCGTGAGCGCTAAGAACTGCACGGGGTCCTCTGGCTCCCAGAGCTGACCTCGAGGCCTTCACACTTGCTGCATCTCCAGCTAGTTCTTTTGAGAACAGGCCGTACTCCTGCCTCAGCCTCCCAGTGTGCTGGGACTTAAGCACCCTATCTTTCAAATTCTGCCCCCTCCTTCGGGAGAACATCCTACCCTTTTCCTCGGGGGACGCCCACTTGTCACCAGCCATCTAGTGGAATGAGGATGGGCAAGGCCCTTTAATCACACCAAAATGATCGCCACCTCCTGCCTAGAGGTGAAATGAACGTCCGGTGTGCAGGAGAACCAGGATGAGGCTCGGCTGTGCCGCTCGGTCGCTGCTCGCTGCTCTGCAGTGCGGGGTGGGGGCCGGGGCCTCGTGCATGCTGGCAGCCCAGGGTGAGCCCCACAGGGACGAAGCGACCCTCCCTCGCCCCCCCTTTCCTGTCTAGTTGTTGACTGTGGCCCTCCTGACGATCTACCCAACGGCCAAGTGGAGTACATCACAGGCCCCGACGTGACCACCTACACGGCGGTGATCCAGTACGGCTGCAGAGCCCCCTTCTACACCCTGAGAGGCAGTGACGGTGAGCAAGTGAGCAGGGCTTTAACACGGGGCCGGTGACGCCTGCACACTGAGCCTTTGGGGCCTGAAAATAAACACTTCTGCCTACACGGACAAAGGATTAACAGGCGCTCCTCCCATCCACTGAGTGAATGTTATAGCTACAGTGACTTCGGTGTTAATTTGTGAGAATTGAAAACAGATCTTATCTAGTAAATGACTACTACAAACACACAATATATTCCAAATGGTTTAATTTAACAAGTCAAAACCTTATCATTAAGCACTTGAGATCTTGATACATATTCAAGTTACACATCTAAAAGGTTTCCACTTCGCAAGCAAACATGGTAATGCAGACTTCCTATTTATGAAATCATGTAAAACGGTTCCCACGCACCTTCACCTCCCACCGGTGCCCGAGAATCAACATTTTTCCAGGGGGATTCGCGCGCATGACAGCACCCGCACACGCAGTTACAGTTTTGCTTATCCGACGGTTTGCAGGTGAGTATGTGTGTGAGGCTGACGGATTCTGGACAAGCTCCCAAGGAGGAAAATCGCTGCCCGTCTGTGAGCCTGGTAATGGACACATTCACACAACAGATTCGGCACTGACGGGGGGGGGGGGGGGGGGGGGAGGCGACAGGCGGAGCTTTCGCTGCGGCAGGGAGGCAGGCCCCTACCTCGCGCGCTCGGCTCTCAGGCCAAGTTATTATTCCCGGAGATCACGTTCTCATTACCCCCTTCCGTGTGGAGAGGCTGGGAGGTGCTGACTGCCCTTAGTCATTTGATTATTTCTGACCTTGTAACTAGGCAAGCATAAAAAATTAAATGATTTTTAAAATTATCTCGAACCATGTATACATTTATAAACAGTTCTTCTGTTGAGTTACTTTTCTTCTCTGTAAAAATGCTATTATTAAAACCCAAAGCTAATAACTTCATTATTTCCCTAAGCAATTGTTTTCAATGACATCTAGGTTTTTAAACATTAATGCAATATGCCTTTTAATAGTACTTAAATTTTTTTCTACCCAAATTGGCTCCAACAATAACAGCTGAGAATGATTAAAAAAAAAAAACTAAAAGTAATAATATATTCATTACTCCTGTGCTATTTGGCTTAGTTTTTTTAAACCTATACTTGGCTGAAGTTTGTAAGTTTTAATGCACGTATACTGCCACAACAGGAAACACACATGCTCCATTAATGAGTGTAATTAAGTTTGCAATAAGGACACAGTGACATTTCAGTGTTTGAACCAAAAACCAGGCATGGTGGGACATGCTGATAATCCCTGCACTCAGGAGACTGAGGCAGAAGGATTGATGCAAGTTCAAGCCCAGCCTACATTGTGAATTTAAAGTCAGCCTGAACTATGTAGTGAGAACCTATCACCAAAATACACAAAGAACCAAAACCAGTCCAAAATTACGAATTCCTTAACCTGAAGGGTCCTGGCTACAACTGCAACATTCTCATTTCTGTGTGTGTATGATCAAACGTGAAAGTAACTCTGCAAATCCTCAGGGACCGTCGTTGTAGTTGCTACTTTCCCAGACCTTCATGTAAATAACCCAGTGTCCAGAAGAAAAGTGGTGGCGGTGGGTGCTGTCCATTTGCCTCCGTAAGCGCACCGCCCTGAGCATGAGCATGCCCATCTGCTCTATGTATTAACCTCAAGCTGGGCACTCAAAACTGTTTTGGGCCAAAGTAATTTTTGTGAGATAATTTTCATTCATTTTCTAAAGAGTAAGAAATACCAAATGCATTTATGTGATCTTGAATGATGACACACTTATCTGGATGGAGGCCACCCAATTTAAGGGGTGTAATTTTTGGTTGACTAAATACCCACACCGCCAGAGCAGAATACTTGTGAGAAAAAAAATCATTGAGTGCTGGGCATGGTGGTGCACACTTGTAATCCCAGGAGGTTGAGGAAGGAGGATCCTTTCGAGTTCGAGAAGGGTTACAAAGTGAACTCAAGCCCAGCCCAAACTGAACAGTGAGCCCCTGTCTCAAAAAGAAAAAAAAAAAAAAAAAAAAAAAAAAAAAAAAAAAAAAAAAATCACTGAGCTGTGATCTTTTCTTTTCCCAGTCTGTGGACTATCGAACCTTACTACCAGAGGACGTATATTTGGAGGGCAGAATGCAAAACCTGGTGACTTTCCGTGGCAAGTCCTGCTACTAGGCCAAACTACAGCAGCAGGTGCACTTTTATTTGATGACTGGATCCTAACAGCTGCTCATGCTGTCTATGGGCAAAAAGATGACGCACCCTCCCTGGACATTCGAATGGGCACCCTGCAGAGACTATCACCTCATTACACACGGGCCTGGGCCGAGGCTGTGTTTATCCACGAAGGTTACATTCACAACGCTGGTTTCGACAATGACATAGCACTGATTAAACTGAAGAATAAAGTTGTAATCAACAGCAACATCATGCCAATTTGTCTGCCAAGAAAAGAAGCGGAATCCCTGATGAAGACAAATGACATTGGAACTGCATCTGGATGGGGATTAACCCAAAGAGGTTTTCCTGCTAGAAACCTAATGTTTGTGGACCTGCCCATTGTGGATCACCAAAAATGTACTGCTGTGTACGACAAGCGGCAGCACCCAGGGGGAACAGTGACCGCCAACATGCTGTGCGCTGGCTTAGAAGCCGGGGGCAAGGACAGCTGTGGAGGCGACAGTGGAGGGGCATTAGTGTTTCTAGACAATGAGACACAGAGATGGTTTGTGGGCGGGATTGTGTCCTGGGGCTCCAATACATGCGGGGCAGCAGATCAGTATGGGGTATACACCAAAGTCATTAACTATATTCCCTGGATCAAAGACATAATTAGTAACTTCTAGTTTACATGTCTGAATCAGTAAGTGATTCCTGAATTTTAGAAGAACCTGTGAAAGGTTCAGCGGCAGTGTAACCCAAGAACTATCAACACTGCTCTCCGCCCCCACGTACCCGCGCTGCTCTCCGGGGCGCACGATCACCACCGTGATCCTTGTCTCTCCTCGCCAGTGCAGCCTCACTCGCGAGGCTGCATCGCCGAGTGACCGCTGGCATTTCCGCACACCCACGCTCCACTTTCTGTTCTTCACCGATCTCTAAGAGCGCTTTACACATTACAGCAGTACTACGTGCAGGAATATCTGAGAATTTACTCTGAGGTGGTGGGATTGCAAACATTAATTCCTTAGCTCAGGAATTAGCACACCAATTTCCATGTCAAAAACCAACACTGCCACAGGGCTCAGCGGCATTAGTGCCAGCCTGACAAGCACAAGGTCCCTCAATTCCTGGTACCAAACAACAAAAACAAACAAATGCCACACCTGGGCAAAGTGGCACAAACCTGTAATCCTAGCACTGAAGAGGCAGGAGTCCAAGTTTGAGTTCTACCTTGGACAACCTATCAAGACCCTGTCTCAAAAAAATGTCAGGAAAGAATGCTGGGCACGGTGGTGCCTACCCGTAATCCCAGCACTGAGGCTGAGACAGGAGGATCACAATGAGTTAAAGGCCAGCCTGAGCTACGTAAGGGAGCCCAGGCCAGTCTAGATTCCATGGTGAGACCCTGTCTCCAAAACAAAAACAAAAAAGGAGGGCGACTCCTGGTGTAATCCTCAGACTGCCGACAAATAAAAAATAAAGTAAAAGCAAAGCATTTTTCACTTGTCAAACAGACAAAAGAACATGGACACTGTCAAAGACAATACAAACTTAATAAATGACAACTTGGTAACGTATTTCAAAAAGCTTAAAAGCACCCATAATCTTTGATTTACTAAGCCCAGTGCTAAGAATTTAACTTAGCTGGAAAGATGTTTCTGGGAACTGGACACAGCCTAAAAACTGGTGTTTCAGACTGAAATCTACTATTTTTACATGATAAAATATACTAAAACAAATGGCTTGATTCCCAGTAAGCCCCACAGCAAAACCAAAACCACCTGGTACTATTAGAAACAATCTGGAGATTTCCTTCTGCTTAGTGAGCATGAAGTACTAGGGCAAAGGTAAGCCCAACAGCGGACACGCCCACCCACAGCCACAGGATGCGCAGAGCTCCCGCCCAGCGCAGAGCCACCTCCCCAGCGTGCAACAGCAGGACAGTTCTAAGCACCACACACCAATCAGCTACTCAGGAGCTAACATCCTACTTCTTCCTAATACTATTCATTAGAATCTCACTTGATTTTAGTTGGTTATTAGTCCCTAAAGAGTTTCAACAGTAAACCTTTCATAGAGTTTCAGTCTAAACAGTGTAATTATATATAAAAATTCAATCTAAGTTTTAGGTCTAATTTCTCTTGTGTATATAAAGTACAATTGCTTGAGATTAACTTTTTAAAGGTAACTGTCACACATGAAAAAGAAAGTTTTTTCCAGTAAGACTCCAGACACTAAACTGTGGTGGCAACATAACTTTTTATTCAACTGTGGTTCAAAAAAAAATTTTTTTTAGAATGAATTCATTTAGATGACCAAATAAGACTTTCAAAAACAAATCTTTGCCCAATAGTTTAAATACTTCTAAACTCCAAAATTTTTTAAGGGCAGAATAAGTAGCCATGGGTATGTAGTACCACAACATGTTCATCAAAGCCTTGTGTGACCAATAACTACTTTTAACAAGTGTAAATAAGGGATTAAAACCATGCCATTGACGAGTTAACTTACCCCTGGGCTCCTTGACGGCTTGTCAGTTTAGTCTTTGGAGGTCCCCGAATACCATTTTAAGTGTTACCATGTTACTGCTGCTGAGTAACAGTGCAAGTGCTAAAATGCAAAATTCAGATGGTACAGGGTTTGGAAATCATGCAGATTTAGATGCAGGAAAAAAAAAAATATTAGAACAACTCAAGATCCTTTTACAGAAGAAACTGAATAGCAAAACAATGTGGCAATCACAGGTCAAAAGAATGACTTTGTTTATAAATGTTTAAAACACGCAACTTGCAAAATGACAAACCTATTTACCATAATTTAAGTAGGTAAGGGCATCAGATAAACTACCAACACAAGAGCAGGCACAGCCTTCCAGTTAGAAAACAAACTCCTCAGTTCTCACAGTGGTTACACACATATATATATACAGTACAACAGAGAACCAATTTATTGCTTTTACATCTTAACAACGCATCATGAGTCTGATCTGAGTCCTGCAAGCGAGTTTATCCAACATTACTATACCTCCCCCTTGGAAGGCAAAGCCCACTTAACACTTCTGCAGACAGACGACCCACCCTTCTCGTTCTTAAAGCTATCGGGCTTCTTAATGGACTTCAGGCACAAGGTAATTTGTGGTTTCTTCTACTTTATCCCTATTGCAATTAATTCCACTTTTCAGATCCCAGCAGAAAGATACTTATGGTCCCTTTTTTATTGATATGCTTTGCTACAAAGCATTTGAAAATGATCAACACTGTTTGCCCACTCTTCCAAATGAGAATATTTTTAGAAGGCATGATTTCCCAATGGAGATTCACACAGGCCATGTAAACAGAACATCACCCAAATGCACAGAGGCACTAAGAAAACGCTAGAGGGTACTGCTTACCATTTTACGTGTGGTCACCCAGACTTATTCAAAACTAGATTTAAAAAAAGAAAAAGGAAAAAACTTCACTTTGGACAATGCAAGAACAAATAGCAATTAAGTCTGGGTATCAGGTGTCAATGCATGACAGGTGATGAATCCATTTGACTTGAGACAACTTTTCAAATAAGTTTATTTGAAGCAAAATAAACTACTGCCAAGAAACTTTATGAAAGTTCCATCTCAAAAGGGTCAAAAAAGGGGAATTAACTGCTATGAATTCTTTGCATTCAGGGCTGCAAAACAAAGACACATATTATTTAAATCAGTTTTATTTAAGAATTTCCAACATTGACAACTCTTATAAAAGCATCCAAGCACAGGACACAGAACTGCAGCAAACAGCATTCTTATGGGGAGCTAACAGACATGAGAACTTCCACCCTTCTTTGAGACACCTGAGCTCACTGGTGAACTCTGCTTCCAAGTACTCCTGCAAAGCACATCACAAGCTCAGTCCATGTTCTCAACCCATCAGCTTCAGTTCACGTTACCACACTTACAAGTCAGTAACAGAGGAGAACACACACCATACACATTCACAGCAGTTGACAAAGGGGAGGGAAGTACAAGTATCATTTCACTTAACACATTCAACTAATGTGGGTATCTAAGAACATAACTCAAAGTCTTCCAACAGATGTGGATGTCCCTTGAATGCAAAAACATTCGTACATTATTTGCTATCATTGCTCTCTGCACACTCTCACCAAAGCCACAGGATTGAGAGACACAGCTTGCCAGTTAAAAAATATCCATTATGCACCACCAAGTCTCTGCACGCGCTCTCCTTTCCTCGCTCATACTAGCCTTTCATGCCTCGGCACCACCATCAATCCACACAAGGTTTCAAAAGTTCAAACAGCCTTCTGGTTCCATATCACAGCCTTGCGTTCACAGCGTTGATACGACTCCATGAAATAAAGAGTAGCGGATAAAAATGGGACACCCACCGTCAAAGACGCGGCCCGTGCAGTGTGATGACGAGTTCTTGAATGAGAAAGCATGTAGACAGAAGTAATCCTATGGCGGAATATTTACAGCACTACTTTCAATGAAGTGCTTCTTCCATAAACATTTGAAATGAGATGAACTGCAGAGATTAAATGAAGGCTTCATATTGTACTTTTGTATGTGAGGGGAGACAAGTGCTAAAACAAAACCAAAAGAACCAAACACGGTGACAGCATGATCTCCCAAAAGGAGATTTCCTAAGGAAAAAATCTATATGGTGGGGCTCAAATTAAAAAGGAGAAAGAATGTATTTCTAATCAATGGCTAACACTTTGAACATGCAAAGAATTCACATAACAAGTTCAGGGATAAAATATTACAGGAGAAACCTTTTGATACCAATTGTAGTGTCTTGGTTTACCAATCAGGCAAACAGCAGTTCACTTTCAGCCACCACTCAATATTTCAACCCTTTATGTAACAAAACTTATAAAATTCCTTTAGCTTTTCTTTTCTCTAAAGAAAAATGTCAAAAATACTGCTGAATATACTCCACACTGAACAAACCAATTCTGAAAAGTCTTAGTACATATGTATTTTACAATATACTTACCATGAGTTTAGAAAAATCCCCACCTTTCTGTACCAACTCCCCATAACCCACCGTCTACATTCCCCAGCCCGAAGACTTGGAATCCATGCTTGAGCCAAAGCCTCCATTAAAACCACTGCCTGAGCCTGCATTCGATGCTGACCCCCAGCCAATTGCAGCACCAGAATTAGAACCACTGTAAGAGTTATTCCCGGACCCGAAAGCCTGATTTGGCTCCCTCTGCATGTTGCCTTGACTTTGGTTATTACCCGACGGGCCTGACTGGTTCTGCTGACTGGCCAGCATGCCCATCATACCCCAACTGCTCTGCAGCGCCGCCTGGGCTGCAGCCATCATGGCTGGGTTAATGCTGAAAGCCCCGAAATTCATCCCTCCACCCATGTTGCTACCCTGATTGTTTCCCAGGCCAGCTCCACCCCCTCTGTTTCCAAACCCACCCTGATTCCCAAAGCCACCTGGATTACCACCAAATCTTCCACTTCTTTCTAACTGTCTATTGCTACTGTGCTTAGGTTCAGCATTGGATATGTGCACGCTGATTCCTTTAATGATCAAGTCCTCTCCACAAAGAGATTGGGCAACCTGCAAGAAATAAGGGTGTAAACAAAAGGTTAAACCACTGATTGATGTACTAAAATAGCAACAAGACCTAGCGTTTAAGCATAATTTGGAGGAAAAATAAAGCAGTGAATGCTCATTTCATTTAAACTTCCAACATGACCGTTAGCTTTGGTAACATTAACAGTAAAACTTCTGTTCCTTTTCTAAAGATCCGTGACACTCCAAAAGCCTCATCCTGAAAAACATGTATCAAGAGTACCCCACAAATACGGGCCCACATACCCTGTACCTTACAAGGTCAGAAAACTTAGCCAAAAAAGGAAAGAATACTTAGCCAAAATGACAAGGTTTGAAAAGCTGGATGGGAAAAGTTCAAGAGAAACTGCCTAATTAGCTGAGACAAATGACTAAGAAAAATACCTGATCGTCTGCAAAGGTAACAAAGGCAAAAGCCCTGAACGGCTTGGGGATGAAGACATCCACCACCTCTCCGTACTGACTGAAGAACTGCCGCAGCTCATCAGCAGTCATGTCGTCCGTACAACGCCCAACGAACACCTTTCTGCTCCTCAAAGGCTCATCGGGGCTTTGCTGATCACGCCAAAAGGAAGGAGAAACATCGGAAATTATGAACAACACAAACAGCATCACGGGAGGGAGTCCCTGAATCTATCACGTACAGTGGGTGAATCACTAAGAAGCACGCATACTCTTATCTGTACTTCTCTATCTTGTAGGCCTTTAATAAAGAAGTTTTAAATTTCAGAAGCATTCTAAAGAAGGGCACGGTGACACATCCCTGTAATCCTTACTCAGGAGGCCACGGCAGGAGGATCCAGCAGACAAACTCACTGAGGTACTATGACATGTTTGTGTGTGGGGTGGCACCACGAGGGATGTAGCTTAGCGCTCCCAGGTTCAATCCCTAGTACAGGGTGTACACTTTCTTTAGATCAAAAAGACTAAAAAGTTCTCCAGATTCAAGCACGGTGAGGCTCCAACTAAGCAAGTCTTATCTGCCTCCTTGGAACAAGTTAGGCCTTTATTTACAACAGGCCTTTTTGGTGAGTGCGTATTAAGAGGTTAAAACCAAGGTATGCTAAGCTAAACCCTCATTCCTGTTTAAAAACTTATTTTGTAACAGAGTCTTGCTAAATCAGTCACCATGTAGCCCAGGCTGGGTTTGAACTGTGATTTTCTTTCTTTCTTTCTTTTTTATTGGTACCGGGGATCAAACTCACAACGGCCTGCTTGCCAGGCAGGTGCTTATGCCGCTGAGCTAAATCCCCAGCCCCCTGAACTGTGATTTTCTTCAGTCTCCTAGTGGGCTGAGATTATAGGCATGTGCCACCGTGCCTGGTTGGAATTAACGGATTGTGATCACCTTTTTGTTCTAACAGATAACTGTGGAACAAACTGTGAACAGAAATAAAGGAATGCAAGGAAGTTTGGGTGGGTGGCGGTGGCTGAAGTGGTAGTGCACTAGATAGTGTGCAAAAGTTCAACCACAAGCACTGCAAGAAACAAAACACCCGAGTTTTAGTTTGGGAGAGTAAGAAACTAAATATTTCAAATCAACATAAAATATTCAGCACGCAGTAAGGCCCTAGAAAAACAAATCAAAGGCTTCACAAATACATTATGCCACTGTGCTTCCTAAGTGTTATGTTTTATTTTAGTATCTCCTAAGAAGTTTGTCAGCAAAATTTCCACAGTATAAAAAGGAACAACGTACCTTAGAATTAGGAAGTTTACAGTCACACCATCGCCCATCTATCATATGTCGTTGTGACATGACTTTCACCTGGGTTTCATATTCCGTAAAACGAACAAAGCCAAACCCTTTTGAATGACCGGTTTTAAGATCTTTCTTGACCTGTAAGACATGAATAAAATTACTCTACTAACACTACACACATCACAAATCAATTTCCTGACATAGAATTGGAAAGGCTTCAACTGCATACAGCAACTGAATAGAACTTTAGTATTCAAGGAAAAACAACAGGAGGCACCCAGAGTGGTAATCACAGCACTTCCTACACCCAGTCTTACACCACCCGAGCCACTGTAAGACCCTGACAAAAAAAAGCACCCAGTGGAAATCTAGATCACATTTACAGTAGTGATATATTAAGCCGACTTATAAAAGGTGACGCCTTCTCTTAAGCCTGCATGCGATAATCTTATCTTTCAACCTCAGTGTTTATGCAGTCAAACCGACTTTCCAGTATTCTCTCCAAATACTGTGCAACAACCATTCCAACTCCTCTCCTGAACACGGAGGACAGGCTCAATGAAGTCATGGAAGGCTCGGTGCTTACTCACGGGCAGGCACAACTGCTATGACGTAAAATTTACCTGCACCATAAGGACTTCTCCGAAGGTACTAAAATATTCTTTTAGATCTTGCTCAGTAGTTTTCCATGGAAGACCCAACACTATCAAATCTGATGTTTTCTGGACTGCTCTTTTCACTTTAACCGCTGATGAAGCATCTGTCTCATCCATTTTCCTTTTGTTATCTAAACAAAATGAGCACGAGTCTTTTAATATCTTCATTTATTACTCCTTTAAAAACATTATTCCCTACATTTAGAAACGAGAAGCGGAGACTCTTGAGAACAGGCACTAACTTGGCAAGGAGCCACGATACCTCACAAGAACACAACGAAGGCCTGAGTGCCCCACGTATTTTCTGGTGCAGTTTTGGATTTCCAATTCCGGCTCTGTAACCTCTGACATTATAGTCAACTGTGTCCCTTCTCCAGAGGAGAAGAAATTTTTCATCTGGGCATGGTGGCACACGCTTGCAGTCTGTTACTTAAGAGGTGAAGGCAGGAGCACTGCCACACTTGACATCAAACTAGTAACTTAGACATCTGAAAAAATGCAGGCTTAGGACGTAGCTCAGTGGTAGAGTACCCTCGGGTTTGCCCTCGTTACCCATCTCACAAAAACGACATTTTAGTACAGTAGCCATTAAACATAACTGCTTAATTATTGGAATGCTCTTGTATAACTTAAAGACTACCCACAATTTTTATTTGTGACACACGGATTTAAGGGTGATACAAATTTTTTCCCCAAATTTTCAATAATAAACACATTATTTTTGTAAGAATACTTGCTTAGTGTTCCCAATGCTCTAGGTTCCATATTACCATAGGACCAGAAAAAAAAATCTTAAAAATTGGAGTATGTCGCTGTATCCAATCATAGTGGCGCAGAGGATGAGAGATTACTCGGAATCAAAGTCCAGTCCAAACTCCAAGAGGCCCAGAGGGGCTGTCCTGCCAAGGCTCCTCAGGGCGAGAAAGCCTCAGGAAGCAGCCCACAGCTGAGGAACCCCTGGTCTTTTATTCTTAACTCAAGGTGTAAGAGGAAACACATCTGTACAGGCACTCATGTCAGGGGATGGGCAGTGTGCTATGTGACGCATTTTGACCTAATCTGAGCGAGCCATCTGGACAGCAGAGAACAGGGGCTGGAGCGAGCGGATCTAAGGAGAGCCCGTTTCTGACCCTGCCCGGCCGCTGCCCCGCAGGCCAGCTGTAAACTTTAGCCGTGCATCTCAGGAACTGTGTGCTGTGGCCCTAGGGAGTCTCTTCCTCTCTGCAATCAGATCAACTAACTACTTCTCCAGCCAGAGTCGTCCCATAATTTCCCGTTTTTGTTTTTGTCCAGACTGAACAGAAAGCAGAGTACAGGGTGAGGGATATTGAGCTGGGTATAGGAAGATCATCATGGCTTCTGCATGGAAGGTCCATTGAACAGCTTACAGAGCACACTCTCAGGGCTGCAAGAAAGAGCAGAAAAAAAATCATTCCACTAAGTGTCAGAATCTAAATGTACTTGTATAGTAGCACAGGTCTGCCATCTTAGTACGCAGGAGGCTGAACCAGGAGGACTGCCACGAACTTGAGGCCAACCTGGACTATACAGGATTTCAAGGCCGGCCTGAACTACAGTTAAGACCCTAAAAATCCAAAAGAATTCAATTGCAAAGGTTGAGACCAAGAGCATTTCCCCATCTAGATTTGTATGAAAAGCACCATGGAGAAGGAGAAGGCTCTGGACCTCCTCCCAAGGTTTAGAATGACTGAAACGAATAGACCAACGCTCACTGAGCAACACCTGGTATCACAACTACTGTGCCCACTGGGCTGTTGACAGCTGCCTCAAAGGTGCCAAGTCTTCACAGGATCTCTTCTCAATGTTAGTTTGGGTCAGTAATTCTGAGGTAATGTTCTGGGGCCAATGCAGTAGCCACTATGAGAGCTGCAATCAAAATACTCAGAAAGTATTTTTATCCAGCACATTCAAGTGTTAAGGTGATTTGTTTGAGAGTGGAATTTCTCACTTGAGTGACTGGCAGGGAGCCACGCTCTGTCTCGCTGTCTTGAATACCACAATATGTGTAACATTCAGTTGAGAAGTATTTGTAACGAGGAATCAACCAGGTGGCATGTGGGGGGGAGGGGATTCAGGGACTGTTTTGGTGGTTAAAGCAGCTATATTCAATTATCCTGGGTCTCCGATTGGCAAGAGCTAAAATGCATGGACATGAAGTACAGAGAGGACACGCTCAGAGGCACCATGAGCAATCCATGTGAGTGCTACTCACTTGCTAATAGTGGCTAATTTGGACAGTTCGAGGCAAGATGAGAATGGCTAGGCATGCTAGGATTTCACAGGGAAAAGGTAGGGCACCCGATGAGAGGTATGGTAGGAGTCCAGTAAGCCCAACACTAGAGGAAGGTGGCTGCCACCATAAATAAAAGGCAAAGCATAATTCCAGGCTGAATTAGACTCCAATGCCATCAAATTATAAGGTCCCCAATTTTCTAGTTAGAAGCAAGACAAATAATGGAGAAATCCATGTCAATGTTTAGTCTACTCCGTCTAGGCCATCTCTTACTGGCACCCACAGACGAGAATACACAGGGACGCTGGAAGGTGTCTACCAGACAGAGGACTTAGGGGGTACTCATAAAGACCCTCTTAGTGTGGCTCAGCACAATAAAAATATGATTCATATACCACGTGGGACAAGAGGGCACACAGTAAGAACTAATAGTGACATCAAAGAACAGACAGAGGGGGAAACCTTCATCCAAAAAAGTACCATTCACGTGGTAGTAAATGCAGGTCACTTAGAGTCTGCAGACTGGCCACAATCCCTACCAAAATCCCTTAGAGGGCCAGGAGGATGTGGTACTCTCAGAAATCAGGGGAGCCTTGGGTCTTCTCCAGTGACATCAAGCACAGGAGGTGTAGGCATATGTGCCTGACACACCATGCCACTGCCTTTCAGTGTACAGCTAAGCAGAATCAGAATAAAAAGGACCCCTTTTACCTTTGCCAACTTAGAGTTATAGGTGACTTGTGCTATCATTGCCAGAAAGAAGTTTTCTAGCGTGTGAGGTGCGCCAGTGCTCTGCAGGATTTGTTCAGCTTGAGCAGTGAGCTGTTTAATCTCTCCCCAGGTGGGTCCTGATGCTCGTGTGGTGGATGGTAGCACACTGTTTTTCCTTCTCTTGTTGCCTGTTCCCAGAGTGGAGGCGCCATCTTCTGCAGCTTGGGGATGAGGCTGCTTGCCAGCCGGTCCCACATAATACAGAGGAACAGTCTTTTCGGGAACCTGGGAAGGGCCTGTGGGTGACAAAACAGATGCATATCCCCTCCCCCGGGTCCATAATTCTGCTGGGCCCAGCCACTGTGCTCCCAACAATGGGGCAGGGTAAAGGACCAATTGCTTTGCTGTCTTTACTGAGTATGAAACGTTTTTCATTACTGTGGTGTTGTTGGAATCACTATTTAAAACATTTAAAGTAAACAGTGATTTACATACTTGTTTTTGTGAGGGAAGTTTCTCCATCATATTCTCCCTTTTGTCTTAATAATCGAATCTTAAGGAACTCATTAGGCTATCCTGTCACTGTCTGACCTGAAGGACTATGAGGCATATCCGACATGTTTACTATGCCATGTTTACTATGCCAGAGTTGAAAGTCTCAACAGTTAGAAGGCCACTACGTTTTACTTTGTGAGGGTGATCCCATGTTAGAAAAGCGTAAAAGTCATTGGCATTTAACGTGCTTCACCCAACTGTAAAGAAGCATCAATGTATTCCTCAGGTCATGAATGGTTCTGTTCACAAACAAAAGTATTTGACAAAATTTTGCTACCATTCACAAACTCCACATCAGGTGACAAACACATACTGACCATCTTCTCCAAAACTGTAAAACAAATCAAGTTCATGCACTGGAGTACGTATGCCAAAAATACCATAGTTGAATTATACCCATTTGCCAAATTTCATTGGTTTTTAAACCACAGGGATCACATCTACTTGAGGAGCAGATCATTTCTGACAGTAGGAAGGTGACATTAATTTCTTGGGCCTGTTTATGTACAAGATTAAAGGAACAAATACGCACTTTAGCCCTTTGGTAAGAAAAAAATTGGTGTGAAGCAAGAGCCTCCTCTAAAGAGGTGGGAAACCACCAGTGCCAGCATGAGTGCTGCCCTGCAGGGAGGTTACAGTGCAAGCATGTGAATGACCTAAGAGGGTGTTGCACAGTATCTGAACATGTGAAGAGGATTTCACCATTAGCATTATGAAAAAGGGCAGCTTCAATAACCTGCAAGCTCCCTACAACAGAAGGGAGTCAGCAATGATATCAGGACAATGTGGGAGTACCGGAAAGCAGCAGGGCAGTGGCAAGTTCCCACTCTGTTGTGGAGGAATGCTGGGACAGTAAGGAAATGTCTCCCAGAACAGTGTCCTTTCCATACAAACTCACCCCTGCTGGACTGACCCACGCTACCCAAGATGACCATGAGTGCCTGCAGCATCAGCGTGGAGGATAGGGCAGAAGGTAGTGACTTTATTGTGAGGAAAAGACAATTCTGAGAAGCTCTGCTGCCAAAATGACCCACATGATTTCAGATTACTGAAGGACAGCATAAAAACATGTTTCAGTGAAACCTAACAACCATTATCAAAGTGGTTTGATCAATGTGTAGATCAGTGTCTCCTCTTGTAAGGCAAAGAACTCTTTATATTCAAATTGTGTACAAGGTTTCTTTTTAGGATGGTGAGGTTGAAAAACCCACTCCAAAATTCTGAAAGATGGGCAGAATTGGTCTGAGCACAACAGGACTATGAGGTTTCAGATGAACAGTTTTATTCAGGTCTATCTGAATTAAGCTGTCCAAGGTGAAGCCAAGCCTCAATTTGTGCCAGTTTTTGAATGTTTAGCTTGAGGTAGCAGTGTACTGGAGAAGATCAGGGTTCTCCTTTGAGGTGTCAAACAAGTTCTGTAAGCTGTAAGTGGGAGTCCCCACAGAGGGGCAAAGCTAGGAGCTCCTGTAAAGAATTTAGAGTGAGACCCTGTCTCCAAAAAAAGGGGGTAGGGGTTGGAATTAAAGTTTAGAAGACATGTTAAAGGATAATCATAAAGGCCAAATAGTTCTTTGGTTTGTAAGATAATCAAGGTATTTCTAAGGGATAGTTTTTTAAAAAGCTTTTCGGGGGCTACTTGTAACCCTGCAGCCTGAGTATGAGTAAAAAGTTAAGAAAGAACAGTTGAGTCTGGTTTGTGCAAGCAAAATATCATCTAGGCAATGATGTAAGACCATCCGGGAATATCATGAGGGTTTAGAACACAATCTATGAAATCCTGACATATCCTAGGGATATATATCATGTTTTGGGGTAGAATTTTTCATTGCTATTTTGGAGAAGGGCTCTTGAATAATAGGGAGACAGAAGGTACATTTTTCTATCTTCGTTATGGAGAGAAATAATCTTTACAATCTACAATTATGGTTAAGTTTGAGAGATAAGAGCAGGGTTAGCGATTCCAGGTTGTAGGGCTCCCACAGGGATTATGTGGGCATTCACTTGACAGAGGTCATGCACAAACCTCTATGTTTGATATTTTTGGTATGTAAAAAACTGGCATGTTCCAAGGGATACAGAAGGGCTCAATATGGTCAGCATGTAGCTGTGTTTTCACTAATATACAAGCTTAAATTTCTCCTCTTTTAGAGGCCACTGCCTCACCCAAACAGATGACCCTGGAACCCGCTGGAGCTTGACAGGTAGGAGTATGGCACTGGCTGTTAAGGTAAATTTGGTTTAGAGATACTGATGTATATATTTCACTGGGAAAGCAGATCCCTTCCCCAAAGGGTTATAGGCAAATCAAGAATGAAAGGGTCTATAATTGCATTTTGTCTCTTCAGGCTGATGCAAATTAAAGGCAAACACGCGCTGGTATAGTGTTTTTGAATGCCAAGCCCCAAAATGAAACCATTGGCCAGGCTTTTGGCCAGTCTGCTTGCAAAGATAGGACCATCAGCTCCGGAAGATGGTTTAGTAGCTCAAAAGACTTCTATACCACCCAATCCATATTTTCCTAGTTCTGTACTGTGAAAATCAGAAGAAAAAGAAGTTGTTGAACAAGCTGGGTTCCTTTGGGGAGAATGTGATATCCTAAACTTGCTTCAGTTTCATTTGTCCATACACTCTGAATCAATTAAACCAGAAATAACTTGGACTCGCTTGCTATAATAACTGGATCTGCCATGATCAGACCCACAGGCCTGATGACAAAGGCCCTTAAATGTCACTGGCTAAGACTGACTCTGCCAGCCTCATTTAACATCACATCCTCCACTAGGGTGAGAGCAAGCCTGGCACTACCAGTGCTACTCACTTTTGGCTTTGTGACGTGTCTTTTAACGGGGCTGTGGTGGCTTTGGGTCAGCTTCCATCTCCAGGTGTAAACACTCTATGACTGGCTTCCTGCTTGCATAGGGGTGCTGAAAGTGTGCCCTTTTCCCCATTTCTTAAGAAGGGTTATCCATCTATGTTACATTTAGAGGGACACTGATTAGCCAAATGATTTCCTTTTCTACATTCTGGACTTCATTTTGGCTTTGCTTCTCTGTTTCTACAATGCTTTTGTAGTTTTTTTTTCCTTTCTACAATGCTTTTGAAAGTGACCCTTGTTGCCAAAGTTACAACATTTCTGGGGCTGCAAAGTAATGGCAAGAACTTGGGCTTTATAGGATTCCATCCCTACATTCTGACAAGCCCTAACCATTTCCACAATATTTAAACATTTTCCCTTTAAGAGAAGCCAAAACCTTTTGACAATCTGCATAGCTAACTGGAGAGGAAGCACATCTGTGGCTTGAGGATTATCAACCTTTCGCACAATGGTGTTCTATAAATGATTTATAGAATCCATATAAACTCCAATGGGTCCTTATCTAATAGCACCAAGAATCTTGTGGGGGATTAAATCTGGGCCTTCTGCTCATGCCTTAAGGGCAACACAACCCGAGGAAAGATCTAAGCATTCATTTGTGACTGAGCCTGAAGGTCGGCACAGGTGCCCGCCCTTGAGCGGGGAATTTGAACTCCGATGGGTACACTGGTGTTTAAATTATCAATAGAAAAAAAAAAAAAAAAATAAATAAATTATCAATAGACAAGGTATGTGCCATATCCCTGCATTCCTGTAACCAAATGCTGAACTGAGTGATAGTGAGCAAAATTCATCAGAAATCTCCAATCTCAAGGTCATTTCATAGCTGTGGTCAACTGATTCTGGGATCCACTTTGTAAAAGGGCTCTGCAAGCCATTCACAGCAATACTGTTTCTAAACTCCTCAAACAATAGGTAGGGGTGATGCTCATGGTGAGGATCCCTAGCCCCTAACAGTGGTTATGCTCCTTCCTCCCCATCAGCATTAGGTCTCTTTTAGGAATTTCTCCATAGAGGATCTAAAATGAAAAAGGAGGGCCCCCATGACAGGAGGAAGTGGAAGAGCAAATGAGGCTCCCAAAGGGGGCAAAGGAGGTAACAGCACTGCCTTTTCTTCTTTGGAATTTGGCCCATGATAGTAACACAAGTTAGACAACAAAGCCAAAAGTTAAGGAAAAAAAGAAAAAAAGAGTACAGAGAGACACTACCCCACTCAGCCACTGGACGGCTGCAGCCTGAGTTGAAAAAACCTGGCCTCTGACCTTGCCGCGGACTGCCAGGCTCTTCCGTGGCCAGGTCCCCTTACCAGGATGAAGAGTCAGACACCCTTGTTCCTTTTCCAGGCTTTAGGAGGTCAGTCCTCTATGCTGAGCTTCACTAAAGACCTACCAGGGGGCACCAACTTGTTGCTGTACAGGACTGTGGCAGCACAGGGAATGAGAGATTACTCGGAATCGAAGTCCAGTCCAAACTCCAAGAGGCCCAGAGGGGCTGTCCTGCCAAGGCTCCTCAGGGCGAGAAAGCCTCAGGAAGCAGCCCACAGCTGAGGAACCCCTGGTCTTTTATTCTTAACTCAAGGTGTAAGAGGAAACACATCTGTACAGGCACTCATGTCAGGGGACGGGCAGTGTGCTATGTGACGCATTTTGACCTAATCTGAGCGAGCCATCTGGACAGCAGAGAACAGGGGCTGGAGCGAGCGGATCTAAGGAGAGCCCGTTTCTGACCCTGCCCGGCCGCTGCCCCGCAGGCCAGCTGTAAACTTTAGCCATGCATTTCAGGAACTGTGTGCTGTGGCCCTAGGGAGTCTCTTCCTCTCTGCAATCAGATCAACTAACTACTTCTCCAGCCAGAGTCACCTCATAGGGATAAATATTAATCTATAGCCAATGGTTTAAGAAATAGCACATGGAAGCCAGGCAGAGGGAGGTGCACATCAATAAACTGTGAGGAGGAAGATTAAGATAGGACCTTCTAGTTGAAGGTCAGCTTAGGCTACATAGTTCAAGGCCAGCCTGAACTACACAGCTAGACTGTCTCAAAAACAAGCAAGCAAGCAAGCAAAGCAAAAATAAAACAATATAAGCCCATCCCAGGAAAACTGGTAATAGGGAGATGCTGTCTTGAAAAACAGACAAAATTAAACCTTCATGGTCTTTTCTTAGACTTAGCATGTCAACAGTAACAGGCAGCACAGAAGCAAAGATTGGATGGGGCAGAACAAGGAAGGACGCTCAGCCACTTACTGAAAGCCAGCTGCAGCACAGATCGGGGAAAATTAGAAAGAAAGTTATGCCCCTTCCTATGAGCCAGATGGATCATAGATTGGGGAGAATAAAGAAGCAAACTAAGGCTGGGCGTGGTGGCTCAGCCTGTAATCCCAGCACTCAGGAGGCTGAGGCAGGAGAATTGTTGCGAGTTCAAGACCAGCCTGGGCTACAAAGTGAACTCAAGGCCAGCCTGAACTGCATAGAGACCCTGTCTCAAAAAAGACAAAAAAAAAAGGCAAGCTCACCTGTGAGCCAGCCGAGGCACAGATGGAGGAGAACAAGGAAGGAAACTAAGTAGCACAGCCCCTAGCCCCACCCAGCAATCAACTGATTGCAAGGAACTGTATTATTCAATTGACTTTACAAACCTAAGGTTGAGCAACTATTTAAAGGACAACAATATACAATAAAATAACTACTACAGATTTCCTACTGTCTTAAAAAAAAAAAAAAGAGGCAGCACAAAAAGAGCAAAACATTAAAATTTTAACAAGAATTATACTACTGAAGATTTTTTTTGACAGTGCGTCACACATGCTACGCAAATGCTCTACCACTGAGCCACATTCCCAGCCTTCTACACTACTGAGGACTTGGGGTACCATCGTGTTCATTTTAAGAGAAAAAAGTTGTTAATTAGTGACTAAGACTGCAAGGACACTGCAAGGAAATCAATATAGTGGGACACTCCAAAACAATCTATTTACAGACTGATATAAGCACAAGGCATTCTTAGTGATTTCCTAAATTTGATATTAATTTGGCAATGTTTGTTGAGATAATTTATTCAATACATACATTTCTCTTTAAAACTTTCAACTTCCATCAACTGGGAACCACTAGGTTGTCTTGTGAACAGTCTAACATTAAAGTTCACGGAATTACTTGGGTAGTAGGAGCTATTCTGCCTTGAAACGAGGCCATGAACTATGACACAAACCCAACCATACACACCTTTACCACAAAGCCAAATAATAACAAACCTTTGGGATAGTTGACAACATATACCAGATTTCCCCAGCCGGCATCTGGGGCATGTAGAATTCCTTCCACTAGGCGGACGCCCCTCATGCACTGAGACACTGGATTCCTGTAGCGCAGCCCACATGCCCCTGGAAACTGGGCTGTAACTGTGGACAGCAGCACTGTTCCATCATCTTCTGATGGTATTTCAATGGGTTCATCATTCTCATCTTCTGTTACCCGAATATATTCAGACATCTTTTATCTTCTCCTGAAGAGAAAGTGATGAATAATTAACAGGCATGTCAAAGTAACTGTCTCCTTTAAGTCACCTGATAATTTCAGAGAAAAAATGTAAATGTTTTGCACTGGTTACAATACATAATAATTACAGTCTTGGGGAGCTGGTATGTATCACATCCTGACCATTTTTACTTCCCTTTCTTCACTCATTCTTCCCTCTCCTCATCCAAGATCAGAAAAAAAATTCTTGCCATCTGAATTCTTACATTTTTTGGTCTCTGAAAAAGGAAGAGTCCAAGGCAAAGGATACTGATTTCTTAATCAAAAGTGACGTCTCACTAAGTTCACTCATTCAACACGTATTTACTGAGGGCTTTAATGCTGTCAACCGTAACCAAATCTCCCTGGGCACTCTGGTTACCACGTCCAAAAAAACCATAGCAAACAAGCAACCCTTTAATTCCAACCACAAAAGTAAATAATCCCGAGCAGCAGGGAAACCCTAACCTGGTCACAGACTGTGACTGGGTCTATCTAGATCTCTTTAAGGAAGAGCAGGGAATAAACTCGGTTAAATTAATGTAAACATTATACGCCACGCCTTTAGGTTAATCGTATGAACAGGAATGAAAACTGGCATTGGGGAATTGGAGGAGGATGGGAAGGGGCCGTAAAAAAAAGAAAAAAAAAAGAAGTTGTGGTATGTACATGAAACCACTCCCCAAAACGAGTGCAAATTGCATCTGCAAACATGCACTAGTAATATAAAAAGTACACGAGTAGAAAGAGGAACAGGGAGCCAAGAGAAGAGGGGCACTTCCTCATTTGGGGCCGCCGGACAGCGGCCACAGGTCCCCGCGAAGGGGACCGCCACCTCCCAGCAGCCCGTGCGCGACCGCCGAGGGAGGAGTTCTCAGGGCGGCCCGGGGCAGCGCCGAGGGGCCAGGGCCCGACTGGGCGCGCTCTGCTTGGGATGCGAAGTCCGCAAGGCAGAAGCGCGGCCGGGCCCCGAGCCTCCACGACCCCGCGCCCCCGCTCCAGCGCCGGCCGCCGCCCCGCGCCTAGCCCCAGCAACGCCGCCGCGCGAGCCAGGCCGGACTCCAAGGCTCCCTTACCCGGGCGGAGGCCGAAGCCGCTCCGTCTGCCTTAGGCTGTCCCCAGTGCGAGAACCGACGCACCTAGGGCGTCTCAGTGAGGAGCGCCCGCGACTCACCCTCTAGGCTGCTGCTAAAAAGCGCGACAGGGAAACGGTAGCACTGAGGGATCTCAGAACAGCCCTGGTGCCACTTCGTTCCCACAAAATGGCGCTAGGGCCGCCTCTTCCCCCCGCCTGCCGTCGTCCCCTACCACTGGTTTCCCATCCAGAGGGGGAGGCCGCCGCGCAGAGGAACAGGGACCGTCTCCTCAATCTGTGAAGCTCCCTTCTGGGAGTCTGAACATATAGAGAGAACTGTAAGGCTACATGAAGACCAGAACGTGGGACTTGCAAGCTAAAGATGCGAAAAATGAGGATGCGTAGGCTCTTAACTCCCCCTACCCAATGTAACAGATAGTTTCACCCAACCAACGGCCGGCCCCGGCTCCCGGCCGAGCTCGCGCATTTTGAAAATACGCGAGATTAGGGCAGGTCAGCGGGGGCGGGAAGGGGCGGGGCGATGCGGGGGCGGGGCTCTCCCCGAGCCCGCTGATTGGGCGCGAGCGGGAAGCCAGGGTCTCTAACTGAAAAACTCCTCCGGATGCGTCTCTTTCTTCCTCAATCCCACCTCCACACCTGGAAGCAAAACTATTTTGAATAGCAGCAGTAGTAGCACTACCACGTGTCAGGTGCTTTCGAAGTGCTCACGTATTCGGTGGCTCCACAGTCTGTGTGGCTGTTACTACTGAACCTATCCTCATGCTACGGGTGAAGAAACTGAGGCACGAAGTTAAATAGCAAATCCTAAAGCGCAGAATACTAGCATATTCCAGGCCAGCCCTCTAGTAATAACAATCCATGAATGTATTTACGTAGCTAAGGGTCACATAGACTAAGTACTCAACGTTTCTGAATTAACTCATCCACCCAGCAAACCTGTAAGCTCTTGTTAGGCACAGAGACCAAGCAACAGTTTGAAGCTCTCAAGATAGTAAATAGTGGAGCAGGATTGGAAACCAGGGCTTCCTGGTCGTAGGAGTCAGTTTTATCCACTTTTTTAGGTTTTTTTTTTTTTTTTTTGGTGGCGGGGACAGGGTCTCCCTATGTAGTTCAGGCTAGCCTTGATTTCATTACATAGCCCAGGCTTAGGGTGAACCTCTTATCTCAGCCTTAGGAGTGCTGGGATTACAGGCTGCTAGGATTACAGGCATGGGTCACCACACCTGGTTTATATTTTGTAGAAGAAGAGATTGAGATCCAGAGCCACCGGTGGAACTGGCTTGAAGTCAGACACTTGATCAAAAGTGTCAGCCAGTCCATAACATGCTGTCCCAGGCCTATCAGACCCTACTTGCAGTCTGCCCAACTCCCTGGCCACTTTCTGTGACAAGCTCCAGCCTGGGACATTTAGGGCACCTGAGCAGAGCCGGGCGTGTAGAAGCTGGGGAGAGGTCACCTGAGGGCAGTTCCTGAAGCCTCTCCTTCCCCCCCTGGACATTCTCAGACAAGTCAGGTGTAGTGACACATGCCTTTAATTCCAGCCACTCGGGAGGCTGAGGCAGGTAGATTCCAAGTTCCAGGCCAGACCAGGGCAATTTAGTGAGACCTTGACTCAACATTTTAAAGAGAGCTGGAGATGTAGTTCACTGATTAGAGCACTTCCCTGACATGAACAAGGGTTCAATTCCCAATAAAACACACACACACACACACACACTTCCAGGCAAGTTGGGAAGCCCAGAAAATGCCTTCCTGAAGGCAAATAACTCAATCAGGAGGAGAATGAGGCCGGAGGGAGGCTGGACCGCAGAACCTCCAGGTCCGGTCTTAGTTTATCTCCGGATTTTGGCTTGAAATCACAGCTCTGATTGCCAGAAGTTATTTGTATCCCTTACACATCTAGCCTGAGGATTGTCAGAAGATCAGAAAGCATCTAGTCAGCCCCATCTCCCCTCTTCTAAGCATTTATTAAACAAAAAAAGTTGGCTGAGCTTTTACACCTTACCTGGTGCTGTGCTAAAGATACACAGGATCTGTGCTAAAGACACCCTTCCCTCTTCCTGCTCTCCTGGTTTTTGGGTTTTGGGAAGTGGGGGGTTGAGGCAGATCTTCCTAAATTATTACCTGGCCTGGGCTCCACTTGCCTGGGCTCCCGCCTCAGCCTCCTGAGAAGCTGACATTACAGGTGTACACCAACATGCCCGGTTACACTGCCATTTTTGAGGGTCTCTGGCCTGCATTGTGGAATGTCCCTTAATTTGGCTCACCTGATGTTGCCAGAGAATTGATTCACGTTATAAACACTTGAACAGAAGACCAATGAAGCCACACTGGGTCCCTGTGCATACACAGAGATGTTAACCCCGATCTCCTGGGGGTCTGCTGGGGTTCTTCACAGTAAAATCTCCATGGTAGCCTTTTGGAACTGACTATCTCTGGGTAGACACACTGAGATTGTAAATATTTTCATTATCTTCAGAAATTTACCCAGTAGCCTTAGGCTCTGATAATGAGTCTTGCCTAATTATTACTTTTTTTTTTGTCTGTTTTTGAGACGGGGTCTTGCTATGCAATTCAGGCTGGCCTTGAGCTCACTTTGTAGCCCAGGCTGGTCTCGAACTCACAACGATCCTCCTGCCTCAGCCTCCTGAGTGCGGGGATTACAGGCGTGAGCCACTTAATTATTACTTTTTAATGGTTGCAAAACAGCAATTTTTTAGTGTCATAATTTTCTTTCTCGCTTTCTGTTTCTTTTTTTTTTTTTTTTTCTTCTTCTTTTTTTCCTTCCTTTCTTTTTGAGACAGAGTCTCACTGTGTAGCTGGCCTTGAATTTATGGTGATCCTCCTGCATCAGCCTACCTCGTGCCGGGATTACAGGCATGTGCCACCCTGTGTGGCTAATTCCATAATGACTTCAACACTTTTTACTTTTCCTTTGCACAATTAACATAATGATACACTTTTCATGTACACAATGGTCACATTCATCATAGGGAATTCGTACTTGTGTATAGTATACTTTGCTTCTTCTTTTTCCCCATTATCTCCCCTTCAATCCCTCTCCCCTTCCTATTTAGGAAAGCTTTGTTTCCATTTTTTCCTTTTTTTAAAATTTATTCCCTTTCCCCACCTCCCTCCTTGTTCTCCTTCCCATTTGAACACCTCTTTCTTTCTTTCTTTCTTTCTTTCTTTCTTTCTTTCTGCATATTCTAAGCTGGCCGTGACCTCACTGCGTGGTTCAGGCTGGCCTTGAACTCCGAGAGACTCTCCTGCCTCAGTGCCCCGAGTGCTCCTGTTATCGGCAGGCACCACGAGGTGCAGCTGAACATTTTCTTCCTATTTTAACTTCCTTTTCTTGCCCTGTTTTTCAGCACGGAATCCCGTTATGTGGCCCAGGCAGTCTCAAACTCCTGGCTCAAGTGATTTTCCTGCCTCGGCCTCCCAAGCAACGAGAATGACAGACATGGGCCACTGAGCTCAGCTTTTTGTTTTTAGTTTTTGGTACCGGGGATCAAATTCATGACCTCATGCTTGCCAGGCAGGTGCTTGTGCCACTGAGCTAAATCCCCGGCACCATCTTTTTTAATTTTTAAATTTCAAATGTGGGAAAAAAAGTCAAAGCAAAAGTTTAATGAACATCATCATAGCCACCACTTAGATACAATGATGACTTTTTCCTTTTGGTACTGAACTCTAGAGCTTTTTCACTGAACTACATTCCCAGTTTTTTTAAAATTTAAATTTTTGGTACTGGGGATCAAACTCACGACCTTGCACTTGCCAGGCAGGTGCTTACGCCGCTGAGCTAAATCCCCAGCCCCAAGTATTGAATTTTTAATATTTAGTGTTTACAAAAACATCAAAATTTTCATCATCAACGAGTTTTTGGTGTGCAAATCTGAAAAAAAACATCAGAAATGAATTCCCATACGAGCTACAATGAAAATACCAATAGCACTCTGCAAAAAAAAAAAAATAAAAGCCCTTTACTTCAATTATCACACCTCAGGTAGTTTACAGACGACACAACACTTTCCATAGACACTCATTGCTTACACGACAGCGCGTGTGTTTTGCTTTCCTGGTCTCTTTGTAGCACATACTTGACACGTTAGCAGTCTTAGCATTTTTTCAGGAGATTCTTATTACTTTTTGTGGTGTGTAATATGAACAATATCAAATTATAAAATTCTTAATGTGTGTTTCGCAAGTAGGATTGACATCATTTTCACATTAGCTGTGTACTTGCTTATAAAACCTGAAAAATAATCAGGTATAAACTATATTAACTACAATGAAAATACCAATAGAGCCCTCCCACAGAAATAAGCTCTGCTTCACCCATCACACCTGAGGCAGGCATCACACATGACAAATTCGTGCTCCAGATGGAAAGCGTCTCTTCCACTGAGAACTCGTGTGTTTTGCTTTCCTGAGCTTTCTTGTGAGCGGTTTTCCTCTTGTCATGGAGGTCTCTGTGGTGCTGCCCCTGCCCGTTCACCTGTCAGCTCACCAATGTGCTCCCCAATTTTTTTTTGCGTGGTTCCCTGGGCAGAAGCATTTTGTTTTTCTTCTCCTATAAACGATCTCTTATGAGCTGCAGTCCCAATCCTCTAAGAGAATTTCTCCGTAATATTTTGCACGTTATTTGTTTCTGTATATTATCAACTCTTTATAGCACACGTATGGAAGATTGGTAAAACGCAATCATTGGCCAGCGCTTTGTGTTTCAAGTGACGTCACAGTCACTGCATAACTCATCAACAGCATCGGCTCCACCTGTGTTGTTGTTGTAACTTTCCATCTCAGGCATCCCTTTCTTGCAGGTTTCTTTATCAATATTTCCATCGTGGTGCAGTGTTGGCATCAGCATCACCAGTTTATTTTTCCTGGCCATATACAAGGCCAAGAAATCCGAACGTTTTTCTGTATGATTCTGTGTTTTGAAATTGCAACATTTTGTTTGGGATTTCTGCTTTGTCGCTCTATACAGCTCCTGTGCTGGCCAAGTCCTGCTCTGCCGGCAAATGTAACCTCGGTTGGGACCTGGTAACCAGTGGCACACTCCACTTAGTTTGGGAGAGGGGATCCCCAATCTGCTCACAACATCATTCGTCTTAAGGGACTTGATGGCCGAGTTCCAAGATAAATGTCTGAATTGAAAGCATAATAAGTCTTCGTATCCA